TCTACTTTTCTTAAGTATTAAGGATAAAGTTTACTTTGTGAAAGTGCAAGGATGTGTCAATCAAACGAGTCCCGAAATTCGTAGTTTCAATAATTTCCAGATAAAAGAAGTTTCTGAACACGCTTTAATTATATTTCCGTGTGAAATGCTATACCAACATGTAAGTCATGATATTGTAAGAAAAGTTGAGAAAATATTACCTTCAAGTCTGTGTCTAGGCCCCTTTAAACATATTAAGCTTTTACTATAGACAATTTTCGGTGAAAGCCTTGTTACCGCCCTCTTTTTGTTGCAGCATCGTCAAAATCACGTTTATGTAGTAATATATAAAGACAATTTGGATGTGATAAAAGTTGGAACCTATTCCCCAGCCCTACCACCACCCACGAGATAGGATTTTCGAGTTTGGATAATTATCTTTTTTGTCCTAAATTTTCTGGTAATCTAGAACTTTTTCTCTAGTTACCTCCCCCCTTTCAAATGCGATACGTGCAATGTCCTTTGAATCTTGTTTAATTGCGAATGTCTTTTTTCAAAAAAGTTGTAAAGTTGCCGACTTGTATTTATGTTATTCAAGATCTTCACGACATTTAATCAAAGACGACAGATCGTTTTAAATGTGTTATCTTTACATCAATATAGAAAAAGAGGTGGATATTGCACAAACACAGCCATCAGTGCTTTATTATTAGACATAAAAAGAGACCAATATTTGGTGAGAGATTTCAGTTCTACCTAACAACAAACAACAACAAAAATCATTGTTCCACTTGACACAGTATAAGAGCTTAACATATTTTACTTCTTGTTTTATATGTTAATGATATGCCCACGTGATATTCGAGACGAGGCCAAACACGGGGTTTTAAATGAAGCAGGACACCAGCTGAAGCCTGTTCAACAGAGCGAACATTCGCGAGCGCTCGCGAACATTTCTGTTTGAAAGATAAGGGATGCAGTCCAGAAATCATTCTCTAACAAGAAAAGTAGGTCGAAAGTGTCGTTTGATAGGAGATGACATGGCAATACGATACCAGACAAGAACAGTAGAGCTACAGATAGAATATCCACACGAGAACTTTAATCCAAACCTTCTATTTATTGGACTTGTGACCTCTCTTCCTTTGTTATTTATTCTTTCACGTTACCGCTAAAGTGACAACTTTTTACAAAGTGTTGGCGACTAAAACGAAGCAATGGAATACATGCATTTTTGTTGCTAAGATAGCTTTAAAGTAAACTATGCAAGACAACTTGTAGACACGAAACTTGACATCCTTACATCATATTCATGTGAAACGCTTAATAATTTTTTTTTTTAGAATTCAACAGATATGAGAATTCATTCAAGCAATAAAAATATCTTTTTTCCTGCAAGGAAACTCTGTCTTTGTCATCGTTAATTCAGTGAGTTTCCTGAAGAATTACCGATACATGTATATTCGTTTGAATTACTAGTCAGGTGCAAGACTTCAATTTCATAACCGTTTTGGAAAAGATAGACCATAATTCACGGAGGCCGCCGAGAGTGTGTTCAGAGTTTGACATACGAACATTTTTGGATGGTTTAGTATGTGTTCAAATGATACTGTTGATACAGTGTACAGTTTTGTGAATTAAACAATTGATTTTGTACATTCCTGGACAAAGTAATTCTCAAATCGAAGGATTTTGATATCTAGTTTTTATTATTTAATATGCAGTGACAAAATAGAAATGCGTTTTTGATGAAAATGGGGGAGGGGTGTAATTTGGATATATCGCGTTTGTCTATGTCCGTTTGTTTGTCCTTTTTTCTAAGTGTAACGTGTTCGTTTCCTAAAGATATCTAAAAAGCCTCTGAGCTTTTGAAATTAATTTTACATCACAACTACTTGTGACCTAAAGAAGACTCCTATTAATAATAAGGTCAAAAGTCGGAATTTTGTGCATTTTGTCTGTGTATATCATTTTCGTTTCCAGAAGTCCTTTGAGCTTTTTGCAATGAAATATTATATGAAAAAATCATATGACTATAAATAAATAAAAATAAAATGCTTATTGATTTTAGAGGTGAAATAAAATCAAATGTGAAGTTCAGAAATTCTTACATTGCGAAAAATTGTTTCTAATGTAAATCATATACGGTACCAATTTTTAAAATGACGACTTTACTTCTTTATAAGCTTTTGCAACGAAACCTAAGCTCATGAATTCCTTTATTAAAAAAAATCCTCGTTGACCTTAAGGCCAAAAGCTGAAAGGTCAAGGTTGACATTATTCCCTTTCCCATCCTGTTCTTTTTTCCCTTAAGGAAACTCTAAACACTTATGAAACTTTCATGTTTTTAAAATATTACATGTGTATGTTTATTTAATATACATTTAATTCTGATATGAGAACTAATTGATTTTGCTTTAATACTTAAAAGAAATTGTATATCATTGGTAATGTAATTATATATATGCATGTTTCAGAACTACGCTTTGTAATGTTTATATGAAAAAAAAAATACAGAGAGTGAAAAAAAGGGCACATGTACTGAATAAAAAAGTTCTATTCTGTTTATTTGAATTCTACCTTCTTTTTTTTTACTTAAAAAAATAATCATTCGAGAGAAAAAAAAAACAAGCGGATTTAAATTAAACTTTAAAACAAACAAGTGAAAACTGGGGATTAAAAAAATTAATACATGTAGAACAAGGGACAGGGACTTTTTCTATAAATAAATCTTACGAAACAATATGAATGTTCAATGCAGCTGATCTTAATGTGGTCTATCGTCTACGCCACCTAGGATTCTGACATTATGATCCCGAAGTAATCATCCTAAGAAGTCAAAAACTTTGGGCTGCGTTTATTAACATGTCCTGAGAAAAACAAAGCTAACTAAGTTTTCAGAAAAGACCAATGCGGATTAACAATGATTAAACCTTAGCTGCAGACTTTTAAAAGTGGCATTATTGCAGAATCTATTCAAGACATACTTTGTTGATTAGTTGCATGTTTTGAAATGTTACTTTGAAGTAAATGTGACACAGAAATAAAAGTATATAAGTACAGTGAATTTTTCGGATAACTTAGTCGAAAGCATTTAATTTTTAAACAATTAATTAAGAAATCAAGGCCGTACATAAAAACCATTGGGGTAACTGAGGCAAATCATTTTATTTTTCAAACTAAGCACAAAAACACTATCTTTGCACAATTTATCTGTGTCTTTGAATTCAATCATTTACCTTAACCTTCCTAATGACCTTTGATCTTACTATTTATTGTGTATCAAGCTTAGTTTTAAAGAAACTATTCAAAGTATGTTCATCAAAACCTCATACATTAATAAGATTTTCATGTTGTATTACTAATGAATCCTGGCCAGGGCATTCGTGTCCTACGGGCATATTTCTAGTCTCTTATAAGTATTCTTATATACTTTATGTCAGTTAAAATGTCAGAGAATGAATTCATTGTCATAGTCAAACTTAACCTGAAAACCAGGGGACCGTTTTACAAAAGAACTTAATTAGGACCAAGACTAAAAGCTTAAGTTGATTGTAAACTCTTGCAAAATTAAAATTCTGTTTAAAATTGCTGTGTAAAAATATCTTTTTAATTTCTTTTTAAAAAGTTTCAGACCTTTTTGAAATCAACGTAAATTAGAAAGTTATTTGCAGAATTAAACTTCGGTCTTTGTAATAAGGTCTTTTGTCAGGCCTGGGTTTTGATCCAATGTGGTATGTATAGATAAGTTTTTGATTTTCTGCAGCAGGTAAGATAATTCATCCCAGGGGATTAATTAATTGCATTGTCCTCTCATGGACAGAATCAAGTTACCAGTAATAGACAATTATCTCTAAAAATAAATACCGGTAGTGTGCAATCGTTAAATTTATAAACAGCAGCAATGAAAAAAATCTCTCTTTTATTTTATACATGTGTATTATTAAAAATAGAACAGCAGTGATGTTAAGCCAAGTGGTTCCGGGCTGGGACCTGATCACCTCAGTCGGCGCACCTCTGGAGGCTGTAGTGGACAGCGCCGAAACAGCTGATGAAGGAGGATCCAACTGAAGACGGAACCACGCATCTTTCCACCAGGATGTATACAAGTAATAAAAAAAAGTAAAAAAATGATTATTTTAAACATTTCCAAAGAATCAAAGTTAATTCATTAAAATGTGTTTGTTTGTATGTTGTTTAACGTCCCTATCGAGATTTCACTCACATGGAGACGCCACCACTTGCCGGTGGAGAGCTGCAAATTTTGTCCTATGCTCGGCACATACGGCCATTGAGCAGTGAGGGATCTTTATCGTGCCAGCACCTACTGCGACACGGGACCTCGGTTTATACGGTCTCATCCGAAGGACCGGTCTCCACGTCCCACAGTGGGATTCGAACCCGCGACGTAAGGATCAACTCCTTACTTCGCGACTCTAGAGCAGACGCTCTAACCACTGCGCCACGCGGGCGACCATTAAAATGTGTATTTGAACCAGAATGGAATAATACACTTTATAAAATACCTGCACCTTCAGCAAGTTCAATACTAGAAATCACTTAGACTTGAAAAAGAAACTTCTTTTACAGGCTGAAGTGTTATTTAATCTAAATATGATAGAGATGAGGCTCTGGATTTTCTGCAGTAGGCAAATTAATTCAGCATACAGGACCAAATGCTGCGTTGTTTACAATAGGAGCATTTTCAGCAGTTAGCTCTCTTTGCACAATGTTATACAACCACCTCAAGAAAAGTAACAGAAAGAATGACAGTGATTACTATACGGCTTGCAAAAATCCTTGTAGGCCATATTTATCTTTTCACTCTTTTTGAATAAGAAGAAAACCTATTTCTTTTTTTTCAAATGTTTCTATAGATAGTGAGCAATGATATGAATGTGACATCACATGACATTTACCTCACAATTATATTTAAATTTCTAAGCCATGGAATTCATTTTATTCAAAATAAAACCAATAACCTAATAAATCAAAACAAACACTTTTCATTTTATTTTTTAAAATCATTTAATTTACTTTTTCAACAATAACAAATAAATAAGAACAATCAATTGTAAAACCTTCAGTATCATAAATTCAAATATCTCGTTTGGATGACATTATCATAGCAGCATGTTGAGGGTTATCACAGTTAATACCAGGTAAGGTAACTTCTGAATGTTTAAATAAATTAAAATAAATAAAAATAAATGCAAGCTTACATAAACAGGACGGAATTTGATTTTTTTTTCTGAAGCAAAAGCGATTCATGATTAAAGAGATGTTCATTGAATTTCAATTTCATTTAGAGTCTACTATTTAGACAAGATGTTTCTAAAATTCCATACATCACATAACAACTGTAGAAAGAATACTGTTAATCAAATGTATAAATATATATACATAAAGACAATCAAATTCAGCACAAATTTACTTTGTATTCTCTTCAGTTTCTTCTTATAAAATTATATAAATCTTCACTCAAAATACTTCCACGTCACTATATTTTACCATTCTTGTCACTTTGGCCAGTGTTTAAAATAAACTCTTTCCTTTTTAGTCTGTGTTGAGGATGAGACACACTCCCTGAAGCACCCAGTGACTTAGATGTTCTGTTGTTGCCAAATCAGCCTCAAACACTAAGCCAACACCCATGGCATTTCTTCTCTCAGATGTTACATATACAGGTGTTCTGAATGTGTTCTGTAACTTCAGTCTGTGGGCCTCTATAGGAATGACTTTCATAACAGGAAGTTCCTGGATCAGCTGTTTTGGGGATTGTCTGATGAGGCAACAGTTTTCTCTGTCCCAGGCAGCTCCCTCTAGGTACAGGCCATCAACAAAGCATCCTACCAATCAGAAATAGAAATTAATTCTCTAGCCCCCAAAAAGGCCCTTAGCCACATGTTCAGCTGAGCCCCCTCAACCCTGCATGCTGTTCTTCATCACACGATTATACCCCATATTGTGACCCCAACAAATCCCCAAAGGTTTGAGACACATTCTTGAATGCTTTTATATAGCATGCATTATGACAAAAATGCAGAAAATGTTAACATGCACTAGGTGAAAACTGCTCCCTGATTTTAGCTTTACTTTAACCCTAGGATCTTTTAACTAATCCACATAGCTTGGGAATATTTCCATATAAATGCAACCTAATTTGGCCTTGCTGTTTTGTAAAGAAGGTTTCAAAATAAAACCCTTACTGTTCTTTTACAAGTTTTTACATATATTCCATGTAAAGGTTTGATCCCTCATTGTGGCTTACCTATCCAAGCGGGTACAATATGTATATATATATTATGTGAAGATACTTGCATATTAATATGACTCATCAGTCCTGCTGATTTGAGAAGAATTTAAAAGATTTTTTCCTATACATAAACTTCCATTTCAAATGGCTATACACTACCTGAGGATGCCTGCATATTAATATATCATATAAAAGCCCTGTTTTCTTAAGAATAAGATTTTAAAGATTTTTTCTATATAATATACATGTACAATGTACTTTCCCATTAAAACCCTGTTTACCTTGATGGGCTCTCTCAGTGACATCCTCAGCATTCTGCCATTGAGTGACAGAGGTGTACAGTGTGGACTTGTCTAGGGGCCAGCCATTCTTACGACATGTGGCCTGTACTAAGGCAGTCAAGTAGGACTCCGGGATGTGAAGACCAGACAACCACATTACTGGAGGCTCTCCTTCGTTTACCTTGATTTGAAAACAAGTAACACTGAAATCACTTTTATTATCTCTTGCTATCTTACGTGTACAGTAAAAGTTGTCAAGTACAAACATGGATATAGTAATTTTTTTGGTTATAGCAAACTCAGAGGCAATGAATTTAAAGATAGTAATTTTGTGTTCAGTAGAGGTAAAAAAATCATGAATGCTTTAAGGCCTTGTAATTATCCCCTCCCAACAGAGTTGAAGGGGATAAAGTAACGCACTTGTGTGTGTGTGTGTTAATTAGTTTGTCCTTGTGCAAAATGGAAGTGAAATGATTTGTATCTGGATCGATGTCGAACGTTGCCTTGATTTTTAGAGATGATATTCAGATATGCTCTTTGTGAGGGGATGCTCTGCTTTGTGGTGCCCTTGTTTAAAATATTGATCTAACATAATCTAATTTAATAGAAAACTTGATACTTTTCCAGGTTTTGTATATAAAAAACATATTTTGTAGTCATAAGAAGATACATGTATATTGTGAATTTTATATACATACTTTAGCAAATTGTTCCATGGAGATACTGAATTACATATTAGTGAAATAATAATATATAAAGAATACAAATTCACAAGGGAAAAAAAACACAAAGAAACTTCTTGAACAGGATATTAATCAGGAATCTGCAACAAAATTACATCCACAGGAAAAAAAGAGTGACTCTAACAGAACACAATGCCAAATTATTACCAATTCTGTTGAACAGTGAAGTTTAACATACACATTGTACATTATCTCATTGAATCACAAATAAGAATTTATGATAGGACTTTTTATTACAGCTTAATTATAACACTTTTTCACAACATACCCAGCCATTGTACTGCTTTAGCCTTCTCTCAAAGTGAATCATCCAGTTACCCAGGGACTTCAGTGTGGCTGGGGCTAGTCTCCTCCAGATGGCAGGGATCTGACCATTAAACAAGGCCCGAGACACCTCATCTAACTCACTGCTCATACCCACTTCTCCAGCTAAAGCCTAAGTTATAGAATTTATAGATACAATACAATGTGGAGAATGTATATATATATATATATATATATATATATATATATATATATATATATATATATATATATATGTATAACCCCAGTACTAAAACAACATTGCTAAGTTAGTCATTATGACATAAATGGTACAATGAACATTATTATTGTCATGTCAAAAAGTGCTAATATTAAGTCATAACAAGTAATTAAATACTGTAAATTAAATTTTTTCTTCTAAATAATAGTTATATCCTGTGGGAGAGAGTAAATTTACCTTCTGTAATGTCTGAAGTGACCTCCTCATCCTGATGATGAGATTGTTAAACCTCTCCAGCTCCTGCAACAACACCACAGTGGTGGGGGATATGTCAACTCCATACTTCTTCTTGATCTTGTCCATCTCATATTCAGGGGGCAATTTGGCCAGGACATCCTTGGCAATCTTTCCAATGAAGTCTTCCCGACTGATTCCTGACCCAGATTCACCTGTCTGAGGCTGTAGCTCCACTAAGTGGCCCCACATGTCTCTAGCTGCAGCAGTGTAATAACCAATTTCAGCATTTGGGTGCAGCCCAAATACCTCAGGAGTGTTAGCGTGTGGTAAGGATTCAATGTAATCTAAAAAAAATTTATGGTTAGCTTTAATGTCAATGTACTGGTTTAATAAAAATAAGAAATGTTTGGTAAGGATTCAATGTAATCTACAAACAAGAGACCCATGGGCCACATCGATCACCTGAGTAACTTTGGCCATGCTGTTCTTTACCAGATTTCCCCCTTGTAATACTTATTGTGGCCCCGCCCTACCCCCAGGGGTCATGGTTTTAACAATTTAAAATCTACACTATCCCAGGATGCTTCCACATAAGTTTCAGTTTTTCTGGCCCAGTTGTTCTTGAGAAGATTTTTAAAGATTTTTCTTACATATTTCAATGTAAAACTTGGATTCCCTATTGTGGCCCCACCCCACCCCAGGGGTCATGATTTTAACAATTTAAAATCTACACTATCCCAGAATGCTTCCACATAAGTTTCAGCTTTTTTGGCCCAGTGGTTCTTGAGAAGAAGATTTTTTAATGACCCCACCCTATTTTTGTCTTTTCTTGATTATCTCCCCTTGTAAGGGGACTTGGCCCTTTTTTTAACAATTTAAACTCCCTTTCACCCAAGGATACTTTGTACCAAGTTGGTTAAAATTGGCCCAGTGGTTCTTGAGAAGAAGTTGAAAATGTGAAAAGTTTACAGACAGACAGACGGACAACGGGTGATCAGAAAAGCTCACTTGAGCTTTCAGCTCAGGTGAGCTAAAAATTGATTGTTATATTTCCTGTTAGCTTTAATGTAATTGTACCAGTTTAATAAAACAAGAAATATATTTGAGAAACATATTATGTATATATTCTACCTGTGTAATTATCTCTGGGTCCATCCTCTGGAATCTTGTAGTCTACCTCATCATTGTGGTAGAAGTGGAATGGTTGGAAGGTGTCAAAGATAAAGTCACCCATATACTCATCCATGTAAGTCTTCAGTACCCTTCTATCAAAGTCATCAATGGCTCGACCTCCATACATGACCTACACCACAGCACAGAAAAATCATTACATAAATGTCCTATGAAAGTTGGATTTCTTTACATTCACACTTTCATTACAATAACATGTTCTCATCTGACTAGCACTCATAATGATATTTTTTTTACCTCTCCAATGAGATACTTCAAGCTAGCCCATGGAATCTTAGGATCTCCTTGTTCAAAAGCCTTGGTCAGGTATGTATTGAGAATCTGTTGACACACCCTAAAGTCTGATTCATTGAAGTCGTAAGCTATGTTCCACCCAATCTTTCCATATTTTCTCCTCTCCTGTACCACAGCATGGAAGAAGGCCAGCACAAAGACCAGAGATGGGAATGCTGTGTGTGGACACTCTGCCAGGGCATTAGCAGAGATTTTGTGATAGGTACCTCTCAAGTTTAACTTCAGACCATTAGGGGGCTCTGTGACAACCTGGAAATCATTATTTTATAGAAATCATTTTCTCACCTTCCACTGTTTATCTAGTGAATTGAGTTCTCTATGTTAACTGTAGAAATACTCATCAAAATAATTCAATGGTTTTAAGGTAAGAGTACATCATATCATGCCAATGGAAAAGTTTGTCCAAATGTGTAACTTGCGCAGAAGTTGAAGAAAGACAAACCTTGAGTGATCGCTGTAAGATACCAATAGGGAAGCTGTCTGTTGGCTCTGTAGTTAACCAAAGTCTGAAGTCAGGATGGGGTTTGTTCAACTTCTCTAATTCCTTTTCTAGTTCTCGCAGCCACTTTACTAGTAAATGACAGTTCTGCAACATGAGCCACTGACCACGGGCGATGGCTGTCTCCAAATACTGCAGAGCAACTTTCTCCTGACCCTGACCCATAGACAGAAACTTAAGCTTGTTTGAACCAAAGTCAATTCTCTCTGCCAGCTTCATCAAATCACTTGCAGGGTCTGATCCGGGACTCAAAATAAAAACAATGGGGGACGTTGGTGTGCTCTGGTCAAAGATGGACTCAAAGCTTATGATGGGAGGGTTGACATACTTTTCTCCCATACATTTAGTGACATACTCCTCCACCGATCGGTATATTCTGTCAACACGGACACACCTAAGTAACATAAGTCTTTGGAAAGGTGTCAAGGTCTCTTCATACTTCAAGGGAAAAGGATCGGACTCAGGTGTATCAGAATCAAACCACTGAAAAAAATATACAAAATTTTGTTTATAATCAAAACATTGACCAGAGGCCCATGGGCTACAATGCTCACTGTCACCTTGGTCCTGCTGTTCTGCAGAAAATGTATATATTGATTTTTTTCCTCTTTATTCCTTTGAAAAAGGGCCATAGCTTTAAAAAGAAAACACCCATTTGTATAATTTTACACCAGGTCCTTGTGTTTTCCATGTTGTGGTAGCAATTACTCATTAGCTGTACTGTATGTGGCAAGTTTGAAATTTAGTTGATTGTTCAAAAGAAAAAGTGGCCAATAGAAAATACTGCTCACCTAAGTCATTATGGCCATTTATACTGTATGATTTGCAGATTTTACCTTCATTTCTTTTACCTCAATGCTTAACCCTTAGGCTACTAATTTTTGCCTCACTTTTTCAAGTGATGATTTTCAGTGTTTAAAGACAAACATATGGCAGGCTGATGTCACAAAATCATGTCATAATTTCTCTAGTCTCGAGGTGTTATAGAATAAATTTCCATTATCATTTCTTCTAGACCATGTAAAATATGATTTCATGATCTAAAACAAAATTATTAAGGACTGTGATTTGTTTAGTATTAAATTTACCTTCTTCCAAACTTTTTCATGTCTTTCAATATCATCAATGATGGTACCAAATTTGTCAGGGAATTGATCACTAAGCCTCATGGCATCTTCCCATCCTGCCTCAGGGAACCAAGAATGTGGACATTTACGGCGGCTCTTCTCTAGGGCAATGTTTCCCTGAAAAGATTAAAAAGAAATAATGAACAGGATTCATTTAACCAATTGACCCCATATATGGCATTGAAAAATTAATTTAAAAATCCTTGCCAGCAGCAAGTAAAGAATATTCCATTGTATCATGTACAGAAGATGATACATGTGACAGCAGTAGCATGAAATATTTCAGACTTCCCCTTGAGGCCTACCTTGATAAAGAAGTCCAACTCATCTTGAGGCACATGGTTCAGATCCTGTTCCAGTTTAATAGTGATTTGAAAAGAGAACAGCAGTTTGTGCTTCTCAAAGATACCTGTAGAAAAACAAATTTTTATACGTCTAGTCTTTTTAAGGAAAAATATACTTTACAAATTTTACCCCTGGCCTATTCTTTCATGAGGTTCATGCCATTACAGTCATGTTCCAATGAATATTTTTTAAAAATGCAAGTATTATTGTATGCAATGATTAAAAAAAACAAACAAACAGCTATTATGTGGCTCACCTGTACATCCATAGTTGTACATATTGTGTGTCAGAGTGTCCATAATGTTTTTCAGTCTCTTCTGTAGAATGGCATCTGGCATGGACTTTTTCAGGGAAAGTTCAAATACTCCTAGATAGGCATCTAAGCTGTATTGGTACATGGTATTGATTGTAGACAAATCTGCCAGAATGAAGAACAAAATGGCTCCTCTACGAGCTGCAGGTCTGTAACCATCTCGAAGTTTGTCAATGTCAACTGCTGTCTTAGCTCCCAATTTCAGTTTCTCTGATACCTAATAGTTTAAAGTTTATGAAAATTATTCATTACAATTCACGTTGATTTATCACTAAATTTTTATTCATTTACACTAATACAAGTGTATGATAAATGAAATAGAATATGAACACATATCTCAATCCAGTTATAATCATCATCTCCCATTAATTTTTATTAATTTTAATACTTTCCCCCCAAGTCTGTTGAAAACTAATTTTTATACATCCAAGTCTTGTTATATTAGAGTCAGAATTGTTTAAACCATTACTTTTACAAGGAATTGCTAAAACTGTTGACTGTTGCTAGAATGGGTTCCAAAAAATCCAAAATATTATATTTCTATACATTTTCTATCTATGAGTTTTTACAAAACAAGTTTTACTGTAAATATACACTAAAATTTTCAAATCTTAATGAATGACATATTGTCCTATCAATAAATGAACAATACAGTACCTCTGTTGCCTTAGTCTTGGTTTCCTCGAGGGTCTGGATGAGCTCCAAATTGTCCAACATGTTGCCCTGAGATTGGGCCAGTTCTCGCAGTAAGGCATCCTCTAAGTCCTTCAGCAGTTTCTTGTTCATACTGGTCTCCTGGATCAATCTCTCTCTTTGTTCTTCTAACTCCCGTCTTTCAAACTTCACAATGACACTGAGAAGCTGATCTTCAAGACCCTGTTATTCAATTAAAAAAAACATTAAGTTCCTCCCTAGTTGAAACCTTTACAATGCCCAACTTGAAGAAAAAATTTATCACAGGAATTTATCAAGTTCCCTTGTCAAATTATATGCTTCTTCCAACTTATACTGGAATTTTGGCCAATTTACCCGACTGAGCACTCTTTTGAATAAGAAAGTTTGTAATATAAACTGCTACAAACATAGACTAACCTTGAGTGTGACAGTGTAGTTGATGACCATAGATTTACCAAACACATTAGGAGAATACTTGGGATTAGCTAGTTTGGTGTTCAAGTATAGTCTAAAGTTTGGGTCATAATCCACCTCTTTGTCGCCCAGTAAAATGAATTCTCTACCTTTGTCTCCTACAAGGATTTCATATAATTTTTTTTACAACATGTTGAAAATGAATGAATTGTTGAAAAATATTCAAGAGTGTTTGCACTTAGAAAGTCTTATTTTAATGAGATAACTCATAGTGAAAAACCAGGATGTGATAATACAATATACAACAATTATGGATTTAATAAATCAACCTCATAAATTAAATATAAAGCACATCCATAATGACTGATAGAAAATAGCAGTCCTGTATTCTTTTTTGACATTTATATACTTTTATTTGCAAAAAGTTTATTTTTGCATTTTTTTGGTGAGATATTGGCTGCTCACAAAAAAAAAAACAAAACATTCTTGTGTAATGTATTTTTATTCTTACAGATAATAAACATCAAAAACCAAAATTTGTTAAAAATTTTGTCTTGCTTATGAAGACCAAGTAATTTTCTTATGAAAATAAGGTGAAGTGCAAATTTGATATCTACTTTATCCCGGAATCTAAAACAATTTGTATTTGGTATGTGTTCAACAAAACAAATATATAAATAAAAACATTTAACAACATTTCATTCATGCCATTTACTTCATTTCAAAACTAATAAATTACATTTAGAACAATTTTGACTTAATGTTTAACAAAACAGACATAATATCAAGAAGCCCATGGTCCACAACATTCACTTTGGCCCTGCTGTTCTGAGTCAGATTTTTTCCCCAACATACATATTTTCCTCTGTATTTTTATCGCCATTTGTGGCACCATCCTACATTCAGGGCCCTATTCTACATTCAGGGGCTGTGATTTGAACAAAAATGGATCTACACTACCAGAGAATGCTCCCAGAATGCTCCCACATTAATATGATTCATCATGGGTTTGAGGAGTTTCAAAGATTTTCCCCTAAATAATCCCTATTATGTCCTCGTCTGACTCCCGAGGCCATTATATGAATAATTTACAATCTATACTAACTCAGAAAGCTTCCACAAAAGTTTCAGCTTTCCTGGTCTGATGGTTCTTGAGAAGAAAATTTTTCCTTTAAAATTTCAATGTAAAACTTTGATTCTCTATTATGGCTCCACCCTATCCCTGGGGGCCATGGTTTGTATGATTTAGAATCTACACTACCTTGGGAAGCTTCCACATAAGTTTCAGCTTTCCTGGTCTTGAAAAGAAGGATTTTTCTTATATACCGGTATTTCAATTTAAGACTTTGATTCCCTATTATGACCCCACCCTAATCCTGGGGGCCATGTATTGAACAACTTAGAATGTACATTACGTCAGGAAGCTTCCACATAAGTTTCAGCTTTTCTGGTCCGGTGGTTCTTGTGAAGAAGATTGTTTAATGACCCCATCCTGTTTTTGCCCTTTCTTGATTATCTCCCTTGGAATAGGGCTTGACCCTTCATTTTATCAATTTAGAATCTCCTTCACCCAGTGATGCTTTGTCCCAACTTGATTAAAATTGGCCCAGTAGTTCTTGAGAGGAAGTTGAAAATGTGAAAAGTTTATAGACGGACAGCTAGACAGACAGATGGACGGATGCAGGACACCATGTGATCAGAAAAGCTCACTTGAGCTTTCAGCTCAGGTGCACAAATGAAGCACAAATTAAGTAACATTTCATTCATGCTTTATACTTCCTTTCAAATCTGACTTACTTCCTGAAACAAATTATTTAAGTCATTATAGCATATGAATAAAATTTATTACATTTTCTTTTTGTCATCTCTTTTATACATGTACACTTAAACAAAGATAGAAAATTTTTAACAAATGTTCTAGTACTACATACTTAATTAAATGTATACAATGATAATCTCTTACCTTTGATATTCTTTTCCAGTACATTATCAATAACTGGGTCAATGTATTCATCTACATCTTTGAATAGGAATGGAAAACCATACTTGATTGCTAATTCCAGTTGTTTCAGGAAATCGTGATCATTGAAAGTGCACACCTACAACGTAAAAAATCAAAATACATAATAATTTCTATTAACCACATGAAAACATTTGAATGGTCCATTAATTAATTTTTGTCTTGACAAATGCCAACAAAATTCAAACAAATCATGAAAAATTTCAACCTTAAGATTGTTTTGTTCTTCTTTGCGTTTGATCCAGCTCAAGGCTTGCTGTTGAGGATCGATACACATAGGGAAGCGACTTGCTCTGGTTGTCAGGATTCCGTTCTGTATAGACAACTCATCTGGTGGTAGTCCCTCTGATGTCCACCTGTTCAATTTACATCCCCAATTGTTACAGTGTGATTACTGAATTTTATCAAGATCACAATTCTATACAAATAAAGCCTTTTTATGAGCTCAGTCCCTATAGATATATAGACCTGAGAGCATATTGAGCAAGCATGAAGTTTTTCGTATACTAACTTGCTAACTTCCACTTCATTAGTTAGAAGATCTTCCAGCTTGAATGGATCACTGAGTGGGACATCCCTTTTTTGAAGATCTTCCACCCAATCCTTGTATACCATATCATTACGGAATTCCCAGCTGAAGGCACCCACATAACTGAGGAAAGCTGAGCTTACCAGACAGTCTCCTAACAATCTCACACGCTTCTGTTTCAACTCGTTCAAGTCCAACTGCCATCTGGAGTTCAGTAATATTTGCATATAGTTTCAGTTCTCTATACTTCTTCATTTCATAGAAAATTTTAAATGTTTGCATTCGGAAGACATGAATTAACTTTCTTTCTTGTATAGATACACATATAATATTTTTCTAACAGAATCAATATTATTGATATTTTGACATATATCATTCAAGCCCTACTTTTTTTTTTGGCTTAATACTGGAGTCATTCAAACTAACCTCTTATTTTCTGAAGTCAGACCAGAAATTAGCTTGTCAGCAGCAATCAATCGACGCTCCATAATGGCTGCCTCTTCCTCCAGCTGTTGTTTTTCTGCCATGGCCTGTTCATACTTCAGTCCCAATTCCTTTAACTCGTTTTCCAGTTTGTTGATTTCATTTGTAATCTTGTCCAAATCTCTCTTGGCTTGGTGGTAGTTTTTCTCTAGTCTTGCCACCTTTATTTGTCATTTATGAAATAAACATCTTTAGTTATACAAATACATGTACGTGGATAACTGACGAAATCTTTCACACAACAAAACGTATACTTATTATATCAGTAAACCTTCTCTAAAAGAAAACAATTTAACACTTTTTAAACATTTTTGGGGGCCAAGATTCATCCTTTTAAAGTCTTCAGACTTCCTCTGGAAGACCTTACTTTCTTTGTTTCTATTTCCTATTATTACACCCTTTTCATAGTACAAGTGATTTCTCATACCAATGAGACCAATTTCAAAGATTTTTTTGTCATGAATGATGCCTCAAGAGGTTTTTTTTTTTTTTTTTTTTTAAATATTTTTGAAAAAAAAAAATTGGTTCAATTTTTTGTCATATTCTAAATTTATTTATCAATTTGTCAATGTCTTTTCTCTATAATCACTCAAGACAAAATCATCACTTTTTAAGGATCGAAAGATAGAATAAAGCTTTACAGGTCTAAGTGGCCTCTGCATCACAAAATTTGTGTTTTTTCTGGCCTTTGTGGCTTTTGACTTCAACCAGAAGTGGCTGGAAATGTCAGAAATAAATCAGGAAATTGTCAAAAAAATTGTTCTTTTTCGTGTAATTTTCAGGAATTTGCTTCAATTTTATTCTTATTAAAATCAAAACTCTAAACAGATTACTTTTGACATCTGTCCTCCATCATAAGAACAACTTGTGGATTTGCAATGAGCTTTGTTCTACTTCTTTTTCCTTCTGTTATTCAATAGTTCATATACCTTTTCTCTTTTGGGTTTGATTTCTCTAGCCACAACACAATAACCCATGACTGCTTCCACAAACTTTAACAATCCAGACCCAGCCTTACTGATAGTCTTCATGGCATCCAATGTCAAATTCAAGTTCTTGTCACTCATCAAACCTAATAATCACCATCAGTGCATTGTATTACCCATTCTCTTAGGGAGTGTCAAAAAGTCATTTCAATCATTCACAAAACATTCAAATATATATCAAGAACAAGCATCAATTCTCATTCTTTTATCTCTTTACTTTTTCTTTTTTTGTGTTTTTTTTTACCCACTTTAAAACAAACTTGTACATTTTTCTTTGTATTTTTAAAGTAAAAGTTACCAATATGAACAGAAGTTTTCCTAGGAAATACCTTTAACTGCCTGTGTTTGTCTCTGTGTGATGCTGTCAACATCCATTTCCATAAGACTTTTCAAGAAATTAGCTTCAGCCATCATGGCCTTTGCAGATTTCCAAGAGACTTCACGGATTCCTTTAAACACCACAATACACTCACATACTCTCTGTACCTCAGGTGGTGGTTTGGCAAAGGATCTGTTATCAATTAAGAAACATTTTTAACTTCCACCATAACTTTCTTTTACAGTTTTTTGTGTTGAAACAGCAGATTAAAAATGCCCTATATAAACATGCAGTGGATTAACATAGAAACAACATGATGCCATCTGCTAAATACTTTACAAAATACACTGACCTAATTTCTGTAACATCTCCCTTGTCTAAATCCTCAAGAGCCAATCTGGCAGCTTCCAAAGCAGGCAAGGCTTCAGCTAGGGACTCCTCAGCTTCTGCCTGTACATACAAAGAGACATCATGTATAATACAGGAAAAGCATGCACAACATCATATACCTACTATATACTTAGGATTAACAATTGCACCTTCAATATCTCCTTAACATCAGTTTTATAGAGACAATTTTCTTACCTTCTCCTTGGCAATGACGACATTTTGTTCTTCTATTTCCTTGCCTTTTGACTCTGCCAGGGATTTTTTCTCTGTGGCCTGAGCTGTACCTGTGGAGATTTCCTCCAACATAATCTCACAAGCCTCACTCTTCTCTGCTACAGCCACCTTCTGTACCGCCAGTCTGTCATTGAGAACAGCAAGCTGTTCACTGGCTTCTGCAATCTTCTGTAATCCTCCTTGTAGACGTTCACACTAACAAAGGACAATAATTCAACATTAGCATTGTAAAATTATATTTTTTCCTAAAATTATTTTATCTTTACCTTTAATTAAGCATAATTATATAAATTTTTTCTATATTGTCATTAGATATTAAAAACAAGAGGTCCATGGGAATTGACGTTCACCTGAGTTTCATGCATTTCTAAGACTGAGAGATGTTTGAATGATGACAACATTTACCAGTTCACCTGAGTGATTCAGATGACCTCAAATTACTGCACAAACTGACAAATAACATTTCCTTTAAAACATGACATACAGAATTGCCATTAAAATTTTTTTTATAATACTGTAAAATCATATCTTTTTATGAGCTCAAATTTTTTTGTGGTTTTAAGAAAAATGTTGGTTCAAGGGGATTTGATTTTGTGTTGAAGTGATGTATTATTATATATATTCAAAACCTTTACATTTAGTGGAGGGCATAATTGGTGGGTCTCTTCACACCAACAAAACAACAAAGATTAACACCCCATGAAAATGAGTGATTTCACAGTAGATAATATTTTGTTAGTATTGATACTCACAAGGGCTAAAATGTATTTGTCTTTTTCTTCCAGCAGTTTAAGGTAGGAGTTGATAAAGTCTAGGTAATTCTTTGGTGTGACATAATTGTTCCTTCGGAGTCTTTGTAAGAAGAGTTTACTGTTCTTGACTACATCTGTGTGGACCATCACAATATGACTGACCACTTCCTGTCGCTTGTCATCAGGGATCAGTTGGTTCTGAAATAAGGAGCAAACACAAAACAAAAATTCAATGATTTAATAGTAAAGATATTTTGACAAAAATAAACTCTTTAATATCATAATACTTACATCTGGTGAGATGAAAACGCTAGCCACAGCATACAAGGCTTGTTCAGGCCAGGGAAAGAACCAGTCAATATTGGCATTGTTCACCATACCTTAATGTGAAAAAATAATAAGATATGCTTTTTGTTAATTTGAGAGACAACATAACAGTACATTTACTAGCATAGCCCCAACAGAAATAAATTCTTGCTGAATCCACATTAAGTGAAATTTATATACATTGTATATTACCTGGAAAGTTTCTACATCTAGTTCTCAGAGCATCTCCTACAGGAGACATGGCTAGCACTATATGGAGATTGTTAGCACACTTGTTTACAAAGTACTGCCAAATCATTTCTCGAATGTGAGGACAACCTGCTGCTGTTGCCTCCTGACGAATCTGAAATCATAACACGTGCAGATTTTTAAATGGAATTCACTTTAAAATATAACCAAATAAATTTTTCCTGTATTCCCTGATATCATTATCAGGCATTATTTATTGTCTATGGAATAATTTGCCTCTAATGCTTTTCCTCTAAAACTTTTTTTCAAAATTAAAGAGTTTCTTGAAATTTTATCTTACTGTTCCAATAATGGATTCCTTTTCATCATCAGCATACAATGCTGGCACCATTCCTGATGTCAACATGTTGTTGATCAACTCCAAGAAACCTGCAAAAAAAATTTACATAAATTCTTTTCCTAGCACTCAATACAGCCACAGTTATCACAAAATTAAGGTACTCTTCACAACAAAAGCAAGCAAAAATTACCTTCTTCAGCTACATGTTGGTCAGTAAAAAGGAAGACAGTTTTTTTATTTTCCATTCCAAGTTTGTTGTAGAGAATCTTAAGGTCATCACGGAAGCTGCTTTCACCATAGCCTCGACTTAAGGTGATCTCAAACACATCACAACCAGCAGCGTAAGAGGCAAGCTTACACAGACTCTGTTTACCACTACCCCCTACACCAACCAGTAAGGCATGGCCCTGGTCCATCCTGATCACACGATGAATGCGGGTCAAATGTTCTAATGCATCATCAAACAAAACTAAGTTCATAGGAGTGTGGTTCTCATTGTATTCCTCCAAAATCTAAAAAAAAAAACAACAACTAAATAAAAAACAGAAGTAGACAAGGTTATATGAAACGCACTTCTTTCATTTTTACAAATTTGAAAGTTTCCAAAAACATGACAGTCCTCATAAAATCAATCTATCATGTGGTAGTAGCATTTTTTTAAAATTCACAGTAAAATGTATATGAAAAAAAAAGATCAATACATATTAGATACATAAAAAATCTTTATTTAATCATCAACACTGTTATTTGAAAAATAGTAATATCACTCTTCATAAAAAATATTTACCTCTTGGAAAAGAGCTTTACAGGCATCATAGTCCTGGATGTCCTCATAGAGGCGGGGTTCTGATTCCTCTAGGGCAGTCCTGTAGTCTCCATACAAGATGGGATTTCTGAGAGCATTGTCTGTGTAAGGTTTGAAGTTCTCCTCCAACAGTTCCTTTAGTTTTGCCTACAGAGTATATACATGCATATTCATTAAAGTAGATAGTCCTCTTTAATGATTAAGGGGTACAAGAAACTAGATGTGGCGTAAGGCCACAAATGCCCCCACCGGCAGCCAAATTTCAAATGCCAATAACAAAAGTTAGAGAGCAGTAACTGAACATTTCTTACTTTTTTCTAAATTCCAGAGGGATAACTCTGTTAAAAATCATTGGACCAGAACCAAATTCGAACTTGGCCTGCATTTTTTGGTAAAATACCTGCATATGCAATTTTATACTTATACATACATCCCTACAAAAGTTAGAGAGCGGAAACTAAAAATTTCTTAATTTTTTCTGAGTTCAAGAGGGATAACTCCAGATCTGTTTACCCATATTGTTGTCTCTCAGTATTTTTTATTAGATTTGTCAGTGAGATTTGGCATTTACCCATAAGATTTTACTTTCCATCGATTTTACATATATTACCGTGTTTTGGCAACCCGACATCACCTAAGTGTTTGAAATCTTTCTTTTTTAGTGATTAAAAAGCGTCAAACTGAGACAGATCATAACAAAAACTATCTGCTAAAATCCAAATGAACAGATTTAGGATTTCCGTAATTTCATTAAAGTAAAACATTAGAGGTATTTAGGACTCAAAATCCGTACAAAATACGGCGAAATCGTGAGAGTAAACAGGTCTGCAACTCTGTCAAAAATCATTGGACCACGACTTAATTCGAACTTGACCTGCATATTTCTATGACATATCCATATGTCAAACATGAGTTGAATGTGTGAAACTGAGATTATGAATGGAAAGTCAATGATGACAGAATGACGGAACGAGGTAACACCATATGCCCCGGCCATTTAATGTTGGGGCATAAAAAAAAACCCATTAAAGGTGATAAATGAGAATAAAGTTTATATAATTTTCCACTCAAAAAGTTTGATATCTGTAAATTGTTAAAGAATAATTCAACAGCTCCTTTGATGATTGAAAGATTTGTTACAATTTGCAACAGCAGCATCCCTTACATTGACAATTTCCTTATCAGAATCACTGATCAGCCTATCTCCTATGACTCTCAAACACTCGTTTCTCCACACTCGGACAAAGTTATCGACCTTTGAGAATCGATCTGGTGTGGTCAAGCACATGCCATGATAGATCCTAGACAGATCTCGCAGGTTAAAGATGTAGTGAAATTTTGATGGTGTTGGTGGTAGATCATTCACAATGGCACTAGAAAATCAAAATTATGTAATTACACAGTAAATCACTTCTTATTTATATGAACATCATAATTTATGAGACCAAACTGAAAAATATTTTCAGTTTAAAATAACAATCTTAATGCTATAAGTAAGGATGATACACAAAAAACATATCTAGTGAAGAAACGCCTCAGCTCAGGTGAGCTAAAAAATTTAAATATCATTAGAAAACTGAAATGACAGTATATAACCTCCCCCCCCCCCTTCCCCCCCCAACCAACCCCCATTTTGGAATGGTGTAAATTATTTAAAGAAGAAATACTGGTTATTTACATAGTATTAATTGAATTTTTAATATTAGGCTAAGTACATGACGAAAGTTATTGATTAATACCTGTATAAGGCCATTGTCATTTTGGTAAGAGTGGACACAGTGTCTTGGATTTCCTTGGGAAATGGTTGAGTGTGTCCGGCAAGGATGGAATTATATATGAGGAACAAGGCTTCATCTGAGGGGAAAGTCATGTTAAAGACACAGAATAGAGAGATGAAACGTGGGTCAGTCTCATTTCGGCCACCGCCGGCTTTGCCCATAGCAGCAATGTAGCCGATGTCCTTCATGTTCTTCCAGTTCAAATCTTTCCCACGGTCATACACTCCTCCCTTCTCCAGCAACAGCTTCAGTAAAGCAATGGGTTGTTGTGTTCCATACTTGTCAACCTTGCAACAACAAAATTTTTATGAAGAAAATTGTCTCATTTATTCACAAAAGCAATTTTTATAGTTCTTCTAAGAATTTTTCAAACTTTCTATGAATTGATATACTTGTGGCATGTTCATGTCATCAATGAAGATAAGCAGTCGTCTTCCAGGTGGAGGACCATACGTGTCTTTGGTTCTCTTCTCTACATTAGCCTCCAGATTTCTCTGTACATCCAAAGATGAGGTTCTGCTGGAGAAGTTCATGTTCAGCAGCATCTACAAATGGCAGGCAAACTCTACTGCTAATATTATTTTACCATCAAGATACAAGAGCAATTTATATCTAAATAAACTTATGATTGCCTGTCTACACACCTAATTAATTGCTAATTTTCTGTAAACCATATTTATCTTGTAAATGAGGTTTAAACTATCAGTACCTCCAGCATTCTTTTATCCAAAAAAATATATTGAATGTCAACAAAAGATGCTCATGCTAAACAATTGAATTAAATGAATCTCAATTTTGGGGATTTTTTTTATATAAATCTTACATGTGTTTCTGTGCTAAGAGTCCTTAGGAAGTTTGCAGTGGTGGCAGTCTTTGATGTACCAGTCTCTCCAACCAGAACCACTGGATGTTTAATGCCCACCATTAGCTCTAGTAACCATGTGGCTCTCACAGTGTCCACCGTGGGCACTAGAATCTCATTGAATTTCCTCTCTGGGCTGTGAACATACTTGGGTACCTTTTTAGTCCATGGCACCCATTGTTTTAGTTCTCCGTCATAGAAATATTCATACAGAGTTGCATGGGCACTTGGGATTTCTCCTAAAATTAGGAAAATTTTGCAAGTTTATATACTTTAACTTTGCACTGAGCTCATATAAAATTACTTTTCATTGACAAATGACATAAATTCTAGAATTAAATTAAGCTATGCATTCAGTAATGCATTTATTCCACCCTAGCTCTGAGGGATATGATCTGAAGCAACATGAATCTTCACTTTATGGAGATGCTTCATAACAAACATATAAAGTACATGTATTTGACAAAAAAATTTCTAAATTCCCTGTCTATTGTGGCCCATCTTACTCCTCAAGGCCATGACTTAAAACAAACTTGATCTAGAATTTAAATTAGGTGATGCTTACTTATTAATTAACTATGGTTCTTCGTTATAACAAATTAAATTCATTTTAACAAGTTTTTAAAAAAAAAAAAAATGATATAATGAATAAAATTTGTTCAACCAAATTTGACAATTTGTTTATTTTTGATAGGTCCTAAATGAACTTTCATAGAACCCTAAGTGGTAGTTCCTTGCATCTAGTAAAAGATTTTATAAACACTTGGTAAAGAATTTTACCTGCTTTGGCAAAATTCTTTTCATCATCACTGGCAATAGTCATGGCTGCCAAGTTCTTAATCTGAGCATCGAATTTGACTCTGCCATCCTCCAAGAGAGCAGCTCCAATAGACCAGTACAGAGCCTGTAAGAAGTAGGCTTCCAGCTCCTCTGGCTCAGATACCTCCTTAATGAGAAGGGCATCCAACATGGCAGCAAGTTGTGTTACCTTAAAAAAGAAATAATCTGTAATATAACACTGGAATAACTTGTTTTGATAGAAACATACTACAATTTAAAAATAATGCTTTTATGCAAAATTGAGATTCTTAAAAGCAATGCTTTAGAGCAAAATAAAGAACAAAGTCATATGTTAATTCTTTACCAGATTAAGATTTGTGAGTGGAACAATTGTCTTCATTTTGTCTCCCTGTCTGCCATCAAGAATTCCTTCAATGACCATATCAACCAAAGAGACCACATATTTATCATACAGTCTCTGTAGGTCTTCTCTTTCTTGTTTGTTCTGTCTGGAATTGACATATTTGAACCAGAAAGGGTCATACCCCAAGTTTTTGGGGTCCACATACACCATACCACATCTGGACACAGTAGCAGGGGAGGCATACTGAAGGTCAAATACCTGTAGGAACAAACATTCCAAATCAATGCAAAATAATGAAAATTCCTACAAAGACAATAGATCTATAGGCCTTTATCCATTAACAGTCACCAGACTGTCAAAAATGTAAGTTGTTTTTTTTTCCCAAGCCACTTAATGGATTTTATATTTTCTATACTCTATTGTAAATTTTTTCAGCTATAACATGCCATTAAAACACCATTAATTGTACAAACTTTAACCTACATCCCATGGACATTCTCTCATATAAATTTGCTGGATAGTTTTGAAGAAGATTTAGTAAAGATTTCTTTCCTCTACATTTCTATATAATATTTGAATCTTTTTGTGGTTTTATTCCTGGGCTCATGATTTGAACACTAATGAAGATGCCTGCATGTAGGAATAATTTATTGCCATAGAGTATCTAAGAAAAGGCTTTTCAAAGATTTTCCTACTGTGAAATCATCAATTTTAATTTTCATGGATTTTGTAGTTTACCCTTACACACAGTGGACTCTATTTTGTAATGACCAATATCTGCCCCCAAAATCAAACTTTGAGGGAGAAATCTATAATTAGGTTCTAAACTAGGGGGATGCACCCCCCCCCCCCCCCCAACTTGAAAATATTACATACTTTTATCAGCCACAACACCAAATGTTAAATAAGAGTCAAGATGATTGATTGATTTTGATTGATTTTGATTTAATTTCATCAATGAAATATGTGAATATTGTTCTAGGGCAAGCTTGCTACAATTAAAATAAACCTTGCCTCAAACAACATGGCACAGTGTTTCTGAAGACGAATTCTTTCACCATTAGCCAGTGTCAACAGTTTGTTGTCGTCCATTACTGAGTTCATGTTCTCAACCCACAATGCATCAACATCACCATCATACACAATGTATTTCCTTTCATTCTTGTCTGTGGGTTTATTAATGTCTCTGAAAATGTTTGAAAGAAGTCCATCTGTCCAGTCACGGGTCACTGGGTCAAGAATACCATAAAGGTCAATAACAGAACGATCCTTTGGATTGATCACAAACAATTTGGTTGGAATTCCCAATCTGAAATCAGATACAAAAGAACTAATGAAAAAGTGAAGATAACAAATAGTCATTAGTCATTCCACTGAATTTACACATCATACAGGGTTTTTATCAAACAAGAAACTTTCTACAATTAACTAGTGCTGGGTGTCGTGACTGTAATAAATTCTAAAGAAAGACTTCCTAGAGCCCTTAAACCCACCTTGTCTGGGACTGAGCCAGTGTGTTGATGACAACTGATTTTCCTCCTCCTGTGGGGCCAACTATCATGGTGGTGTGACGTGTCATCATAGTCTCATACAACTGAACCACCTTGTCAACCTACTCAAACAAAGCAAACAATAATCAAACTACAAGTAACATTCTTTCTGACCCAATTTGAAAATCTCAGGCCAATGGATACACTAACTACTCTAGTATTATGCTGTGACATGAGAGTTTGTAAATTTGTTTCACTGATGAGGGATGGCCATTGGATAAATTTTTGTAACTGGTTAGTTGTAAATTTTTCTTAATATATCAACATGGTGTCAATGTTGGTGAAGGAAATTTACCATGAATTGCAGTTTCATGGTACTGTAGATTCCTAAATATACGCGAGGAATAAATTATCGCGTAATTACGTGAGAAGCACCACTTGCGAAATAAAATTACTCGCTTTTATTTTTATGGTGCTTTAATGTATGTAAAATCTCTAGATAAATCAACCATTCGCGAATTATTATTCTCGCGATTTGACGCCCTTGGGTCATTTTGCGATAATAAGTACTCGCGTAAAATAAGGAATCTACAGTAACAAATACCTTTCTGTGTATAATCCGTGCATTGCTCAAGAGAAACTTCATTGCTGTTTTTTTTTTTTTTTTTTTACACAGCAATTGGAACAAAAACAGGTACAACTTTTTTTTTTCTTTACACATGTAAATATTTAGTAATACTTAAACTTTAATCTTTCGGATTACATTAACTTTTCTGACAGCAGCAATGTCTTCGAAATTATTTAATTGGCACTTTCAGCATTTGAGCATTTCATATTTAAACAAGCTTCCACTGAGTTTTATTTTGAAAGAAAAAAATTATTCCAAAAATAGATTTCCTTCAAAAAGTTATTAAATTTGTACCAATAATTACAATCTTTCTGAACAATTAGTTGGTTAACTGGTTAAACATTGCCAACCCTACTCCTAATATTGTTATCTACTGTACCTGCACATCCAACATTTTGTATCCATTGTCCTGAAGCACTGCCTCCACAGCATCATTGAAGTTGGGGTATCTGACTCGAGGACAGTCCAGACCTGGGAACAAATCCCCAATGAGTCCCAGGAATAGAGGAACATCCTCAAAAACAAACTTAGGCAGGTTCATGTCTCTCAAAGCTCTCATCAATACTACATCCTATAAATGAAATTATGAACAATTGAAACAACTGAAAATAACTGTCACAACTTGTTTTCATACAGAAAAAGATTTCATGCCCCTATTAAAGCTCATTTCATTTCTATTTTTCGTACAAATTCTGTACCTCGGGTAAATCTGGAGAGCCACGTTTCAGATCACCAGCCATGACCAACACAGACTTCAGAGCTCGGAGACCAAAGTCATAATGGTACTGTTTAGACAACTGCTCCTTTGCCAGTTTGTACAACACAGTCATTTTTTTGGCTAGAACTTTAGCAGTGAGGAAACCCTCTGAGAACAACATAATCTCACATATCTGCTGCAGATCTGGAACAATGACCACCACTGGTCTGAAGAGTGCTTTGACAGATTCCGGTAACTCTGTACGACCCGCATAACCAGGGTTCATAGTGATGAAGATACCAACTCTCAAGTCCAAACTGATCTCCTGTCCTTCAAACTGAAATGTTATAATGTGACATTTTAATTCATTCTGCTCTCTGATAAAAAAATGTTAAAATCAATATGCAGTATGTACTTAATCTATATTTTAGATCCAAAAGCTTGGTTGGAACATATTTGTTAATAAAGAGGTTAGTGTAGACAACTCACATGGAATCTTTTTAACTTGAGAATAAGGGCATTCTGAATGGTTTTCAACTGAGTGGAAATGACAGAAAGAACAGATACGTCAATACGGTTGAACTCATCAAAGCATCCCCAGGCACCACACTGACACAATCCTGAGTAGATCTTACCAACAGCCTATAAAACAATGTCACTTCCACGTTAGGTACACACAACTTTGATACTTTCAATATAATTTTTTTGCTTAAATTATTATTTTTGTTTTATAACTTTTAACTTTTTTTTCAATTCCTCAAAAAATAAACTAAAAGTGAAGATTTGATTTAATTCAAAAGCAGTCCTGTAGGTATGATATATATTTCAGATTTCTTACCTTGAAGTCCATACCCTCTCCACAGTTTGTGACAACACAGAGCAGTCCTAGAGCCTTGGCCAGATCCTTGGTGGTTTCTGTCTTTCCTGTACCAGCAGGACCTGCAGGAGCTCCACCCAAATTCATTGACAGAGCCTGTAATTAAGTAAGGAGTCCTTAATGCTTTATAGTACTTCTAATACTCATGATCTGAACAAACTTAAATCTACACTATGTCAGGAAGCTTTCATTTAAGTTTCATTTTCTCTTACCCAGTGGTTCTTGAGAAGATTTTTAAATGACCCCACCCAAATTTTACCCTTTCTTAATTATCTACCCTTGGAAGATGATGTAACCTTTCATTTAAACAAACTGAATTCCCTTTACTCAACTTGAAGGTTACTCTATGTCAAGTTTGGTTGAAATTGACTCAGCTAGTGGTTCTAAAGAAGAAGACAAAACTTAAAAAGTTTATGACAACAACTAAACAAGATTTTGAAAGAAAATTTCCTATAAATTTCTTGTCACTAATAAAAATAGATTGCCTGGAATTTTTTTTTAAATTTCCCTGTAAAACCTCAATTCCCAATTGTGATCCCAGTCTTTACCCAATACATGTAATACCTTCATCATTATACCCACATTCTTCAAATATACCAAGCATTATGGAATGTAAAAAAAAGTTTTTTTTGCCAAAAAGATATGCTTTTATGATCATTAAAAATTCTTATCAAGTTTATTATATTCCTTTTCTTACCTGTGTAAGTGTGAGGTAGATTCTGTCTGTCAGTGGGGTAATGACCAGGCGACCATTAAGACCCATGTACTCATAGCCATAACCAAACTCTCCAGTGCACTGTCTGACCACTAACTCATCTGGCTCTTTCTCCCAGTAGAACCTCAACTGACTCTCCCACTCAAACTCTTTGGCATCCATTATACTGGAAATAAATTAAAAATATGTTTCATTATGTTCTGCATTTATAGTTTCAATCTACAATGTTACTGAAGGCAAATCAAAACTTCTCGTCAAGTGTAATATGCAAGTGATATGCTTGTATCAGGTTTAATTTATCAATGTTTCATATTGCATGTTTCAAATCATGTGATCTTGCAGCAATAACTGTGCAAATATCATTTTGTCAATGTTAGAAAGTTACCTTAATTGTTACAATCATACAAATTTAAACTCTGTATCATCAATATCTTCCCACTCTGTATATATCATGATTGTTTGAATAATGCTGAGGCCAGTGCATATAAACAATATTATGTACATGATTGTTCCTTATTTCATACGGTATTTGCTCACAATTCCTCAAACTACATATAAAAGATAATAAAATAAATGCAGTACAACTTAAAACCGATCCCTTGGATCCCAAGACAAAAATCAAAAGCCTGAAAGGCTTCAATGACATGAACATGAAAAATAATTTCAGAAGTTCATTTTTGATATGATATAAAATTTCTTCTTCTAACAAGATATCAATTACATGTTTGGTGAATTATGCCATATGGTCCGAATAGAATAGTGTTCGAATCAACCAGACACTGTTGAAAGTAAACAATTTGTTCATGCTGAATATTTAACTCATCCCTTTTCAATCAGTTGAAAACTATAAAGGATTTAAAATTTTATATAATATTATTCTAATTGTCAATATCTAAGTATTGTTTTAGGGATTGCACCTAAACTATAACCAAGTCTCTGCTATGAGAGTTACGATTGGGTGTACGTGGTATATGGTATACTACAAAATGAAGGAAATGGAGAAATATAGTAAAAGGGTAGATATCTTCAGTTTTTATAATAAAATTGGTATCAAAATTGTAAAAGTAAGTTTGAAATTCAATGGTTTAGTCTTCCAGTATTCGTATTAATGTAATTTTGTGATTATTTAATTGCCTTATGGGTTGTTTCTTTAACATGCTTATACTTCCGAACTGTTATTCATGTCATTCAACCCACTGCTTGAAAAATTCATCCACAACAACACATTTTTCTTGTGTGAAAATAATAAAGGCTCTGTGTTTTGTAACAGACTTAATTGTAGATATAATTGATGCAATTTTATTTTCAAGTTATTATTCATCCTGAGCATTTTCAAAGAAATTGATATATACTGCAATTGCTTTTTTCTTTTGTCGGTGCATCGACTGACACCTTTGGTGGCATAAATTCTTGTGCCAATTTAGATGGGATGCCTGCAGATAGATGAAGATCAAGCTCTGCTCGACGTCATAAAAATTATCCCCATCTTGCATAAAAATACTACAGATTTAGCTAAGTTAGCTGCCAGTTTATCTATTTTTTGTTTTCTTGTATCTTCTATTCTGCTCATTTATTACCTGTCTCTGACAAATCCATCAATAATATCCCTTGCATGTACATCAATAATAAGGACAGAGTTAAACTTCTTTCTGTCATTAGAAGAGAGAGGGGATCGGACAGTCACTACTAGATCTCCAATCTGTTTGTGTTGTTTCTTGGCGTAGTCCTTTAAGGCTGTCTTCACACCTTTTTTAACCTTTCGAAATACATCTTCCACTTCCCAAGTCCACCACACTTGGTTACCAGCCAAACAGACCATACCTTGGTATCCCATCATCCAGTCAACTCTAAAAAAAAAAAATTGAATATCAGAAAAAATTGTGCAGCCAGGAAATAATATCAAAGTAGTTAGTTTTACACATTGATCCATCATGTAACTGTGTAAACTTGAAGCTAGATTTTGAAAATTTTTACCAATACTTTAAATTTTACCTTGTCTTGCCATCTGCACAATAATAAAATATGGCCTCTTTCGTAATGAGTCTGTTGGTACGTCTCATTTCTTCTAGCACACTTGTCATCCAGTCTTCCACTCGCCCCTCGGCTGGGATATGATCACGGAATTCCATAACTTCCCCTTCTGCTGAGATCATGGCTGAGGCTAAGGTTTCACCATTGGGACCCTGTTGGAATCTCAGGGCAGAAATATTATCATACATCTGAAAAAATAAATCAGAAGTTGCATTATAATTTCTTCTCTTCAACAATTATTTAAAGACACTGATTCTAGTGAAAATAAAGAAATAGTAACATTATGATAAGAAATCTACCTTGATCATATGCTCCTGTACACAGGATGGATCACTGCTACCTAGAATGCTGAGTAACTCATCATCAGAAATGAAGAAGAATCTTGGGAAAGCATTACGTTTGGAATCCAGATAGTCATTAAGTGATTTCTGGCATCTCTCTAGCCCCAAACTTAAGGCTTCCAGGTCTTGTAGACGATTTGGAGCATGGCAACAACTTTTGATGACTGGATTTTTATGGACATCATTCATGATCTGAAATCAGAAATAAATACATGAATCCTTTTTTTTTTGGTACTTCCTCTTAAATCCTACATTGCTAATAGCATGCAAGTGTACGAAAATAATCTGTAACCAGAGGTACATGAAATTTATTTAAATTGTACCTCCTGTAATATTCCCACAATGGTAATAGCATTTTAGTGTATGAAAATTCCTTACTTAACCCATTAACATACCTTTTTGAACATTTTGTCAATCTGATCAAACTTCTTGGCCTCCTCTGGCAGCTGTGATCTGATGTCTCCTCCAATGAAGATTCCCTCCAAGTACATCCACTTCCTCTGCACCACCATCCACACCTATAAAAAGTCAAAAAATGTACATCCATCATAATAAGAGGCAAATGGGCTTCAACAGTCACCTGGTTGTCAATGAAGATTTTTTAGCCACATTATACATTTCTTTTTACTCCTTAGTAAAACATGAAACAACACGTTCCCTATATATCTGTTGCACACCATCTAATTTTGACTTGCTACACATTTACTTACATCAAGGACTTCTGAGATGTGGGATAGACTCTTTTCCCAGTTCTGTACAGAATTCAAGAAAGGTCCAATGAATCTAGATGCTGACATGCTTTGTAAGTTCATAGAACTATCATCAAGAATCTGAAGAATCTCGTCCACTGCCCCAAGAATCCAGCCCCTGTTTGAAGTGCCCTTCATGTAGGCATGGACTGTGAACTTCATGTTGCTCCACTGCTCTTCAATTTCTTTGACTCCCTATTAATAGAGAAAAAATTGCAGCTATATGTTCTTGACATTTAGATGGTGAACAAGAGGACCTCCTCACCTGAGTCACCTTGAATTATTCTTAATTACTGTTCAGATTTTTTAAAGATTTAATGAGGCTTTGTCTAATTACTTCTACCCTAGATATTTTGATAAAATTTCTTAAATGAATTTTTACTATTATACTAATTGTTTTAAGATTAAGAAATCAAATGTTTACCATCCCGATTTCTTAATCCTGATTATCTCAAAAGTTGTCAAATTTTACTATTGGACCCTATGGGAATTTTTTGGAAAAGCGCCAAATTATCACAATTTCCCAATATTTTTTGTATTTCTGCCCTAGGGATTTTCCTTTTCATTCAAATACATGAAAATTATTGTAAAAAGGCACCATTTGTGAAATTTCAAAAAAAGTTAACCATCTGGTTTGGTCTAGGAATTATTACAAAGTTTATTTTTTTTCCTATGCCCAGTACCTCTAAATTTGCCATATTACGGCATAAATTTTATATATATCGGCGCAGATGAATTATTTTGGTAAAAAATAACCATGTTTCCATTGCTGGTATGTTTCTTTTGATGCTCTGTCAACAGTTTTTAATAAAATTTCCATGGACGTCTTGAATATATACTCAACGAGTTATGCGTCGTTCTTCAGCGTCATGCATTGCTTACAGAACCAGAAAACAGTGACGTCGTGAAGGCCACTTCAGCATTTATTCCTAATTATTGTCTTAAAAACACATTTGAAGACCCATAAACGTTACAGATAATATAATATTATGTTAATTTTGTATTAAAATTACAATACTTAGGATAGGTGTTATGTTGCAACTATGACTGCATGAAACTAAAAAGTTGCCCAAAGATATGCACACTCGAATTAGACTCGCCTCGTTTAAAAGGTTTTGCTATTTATATTTCCATAATCAATTTGATCTCATTGTTCCCCCATCCTAGTCCCAAGGGGCATGACTTAATTAACCAATCTTGAATCCACACTACATGGGGATACTAAATATCAATATGAGTAATGTGGCAATGCTGTTCTGGAGAATATTTTTTTAAGATCTTTCCTACATAAATTTATTACCTGTATGTAAAATTTGATCTCAAATTTTAGCCCCATAAAACCCAGTGTCCACAATTTGAAAAAAAATTGAATCCGCTTGACATGGTAAAGTTTATATATCAACTTGGTTTAGTGTCACCCTCCTACTCTAAAAAAAATCCTATATATTCCTTTGTAAAATTTTTAATATCCCCATTCTAGCCCCATGCAGGGCCATGAATTGAGTAAATATCAATTGCCACTTCATGGGGATGCTGGTATATCAATATGAGTACTGCTATTTTCAAGAAGAGGATTTTGGAAGAATTTTACCCCAATATACTGCATGTGAATATTACATACTTTATTGTGGCTCAACCTAAACCTAAACCCCAATCCTTGGTTTAAACAAATTTGAATCAGCACTACCTGGGGATGTTTGCATCAATAATATTCTCTGTTTAAGAATTTTTCTTAAAACTTCAAATTCTCATGTAAAGCTTTGAAAACCTAATGTTGCCCCTTCCTATCCCAAGAGATGATGAAGAATCTGCACTACCTGAAGATGCTTGCATGCATGTATAAAATGACTGATCTACTAGACCTAGTGTTCTCAAAAAGATTTCTCCTTTTTCATATTCACAGGTAAGACTATGATCCCTTATTGTAGCCCCCCCCCCCCCCCACCCCACCCCTGATTTGAACAAAATTCAATCTGCATTTCCTGATGATGCTTGCATATCACTAAAGATTCATTAGAACAAGACTCTAAAATAATTGTTACTCTATATTTTTATGTAGAGATATCCCCAGAAGCCATAAACTGAATAAATATGAATCTTCACTACTTAAGGATCTTGCATATTAATAGGACTAATCATGTATCTGCTGTTCTTGCAAAAAAAAAATTCCCATAAGATCCTCAATTGTGGCCCAACCTTAAGCCCAGGGGCCATGATTTGAACATATTTGACTTTACACTACATTTATGTCAGGAAACTCTCTTTTCTGGCTCTGTGATTCTTGAGAGGATTTTTAATATCGATACCATCCATTCTTGAATATCTCCCCTTGAAAGAAGTTGTGGCTTTTCAGTTGCACAAATTTTATTTTTATTTTTTTTTTAACCTAAGGATGCTTTGTGGTAAGTTTAATCAAAATTAGCCCTGGTCAGTGTTTCTTGAGAAGCAATTAAAAATTTTAGTTTGTATGCAGGTGACATACAAAGGACAATAGACAATGGACTAACAAATGGATGTTTGATACTTTTCCAACAGAAAAGCTCACTTGAGCCTTTGCATGGCTCAGGTTAGCTAAAAACATTAAAGAGGACTAATTTCAAAAAGCTTCTTATATTAAAATGTGAAAGTGGAAATAATCTTATTTCCATTACTTAAAAAATTATCTTATACATGTACTAATTGTTTAGTAATTTCACTGAAATCTTCAGCTAACCTTTTCAATACCCATTTCTTTGCTGGCCATCGTGACAATCTCTCCAATAGTTTCTTGGAATCTATGTAACTCCATGGCAAATACATTTGCCAGAGTAAATGTTTCAGGATTGATGTCAAACTTCTGCCCTGTTTTATTCATGAGCTCTTTCCAATGGCTAAAAAGAGATGTCCAATTTAAAGTACAAGCATTTTTCCCAGTTGATTTGTTCTAATTAACAAACAATTTTGTTCTTTAAAAACTCAAGTTATTTTGTCATATAAAAATGCTGAGAGACAAACACATCTAATGATTACTATAAAAAACATTACAGTACCGTTCTCGAAGAGCATCATGTTTCAAGTCCACAAACAGTGGTAAAGAATCTCTGAATTCTTTCATCTTGGACTCGAGGGCTCGGGCAGCCTGCATGGATCTTACTTCTTTTGGCATCTTACGAAGACTCTTCAGAAAGCCTTCAATGCCATCTTGGAGGACTTGTACGTTCAAGTTGGACCAAAGTGTTTCTGCCCATTGTTCTCTGGCAGCCTTGAAAATCAATGAGACTACACATTCAAATACTTCTTGGTGTTGCAACTGACATGAATATGTAATAACTCTCTTAGATTTTTTTTTAAATTCTATAATTTAAAAAAACATGAGGCCAAAGGGCCTTAACGGTCACATGAGTATAATGTAATGATCCATAGATTAAAATAAAATGAGCTGATAAATGAAGCTCTGTTGCCCAAACGTAAAAGAAACAGGATTCAGGGATCAGCAAAATATTAATTTAGTACTTAGTAATAAACCTTAAAGTTGATCTATTTATTTGTCTGCACTTTTCTCCATTGTCACTATACTCGTGCAGACTAAACAAAACAATTATAGTTCTTGAGCACTATTAGTTAGCACATTTCATTCCCTGGCCCTTTCACACTGGCATCTCTTAGTCTTTGAAGATTATTTATTGTACAAAGATATGGTAATTTTGTCCCATTTTCATTTATCTATTATTTAAAAGTCTACCTGATCATTAAGAACTATAAAAGTATTTTTTGTTTTAAATATTATAAAAATTCTACTATAATTCTATTATTTAACTGACCTTTTAAGGATATCCGATCCTCAGCCAGAAAGAATCATTCTTAAATTTATTATTTTATTTAAAAAGTCTCAAATGAAGCTTGAAACTGAGATCTTTTCATGCAACAATTTTTCATTTTATGCATCTTAATATGATTCAAGGTTCTTTGAAGTCTTAGAAATGGTCTTGTAAAACGTTGACATTTGTACCCCATAAAAGAAAAAAAATGAATTCATTTTTAGAGAAATTGAATTTCTTTTAATCTAGCATTAGATATGACTGCTTATTAGCATGATATGAAATTAGACATGATATGTGATGTCTAGCGTTGATAGCACAAGCTTTTTACACTATGTATTATATGACAACTAAAGTAAAAAGAGGAACTAAAATACTGTATAAGCATAAAAAAGATACAATTTTCTCCAAATGCCTGGATACTTACATTTTTCTATCCTAAATTATATTTGTTGATCAATTTTCAATTAGAACATAGGTAATCAAAGATTATGAAGCTCACCTTGACGAATGTTATCTATAAGTAAGGCAAATTTCACATCCTATTTTTTTTTCTAGTTAGTGTACATCTCAAGATCAATACCCATGGAAGTTTGGTTTAAGTAGGACTTATAGTTACTTTGAAATAGACCTGCTCAAAAAACTTTTAACCTGTTTACTAATCAAGAAAATTTTGATCAGTTCCAACATCCAAAGCAGGTCTGAAAGTTTTCATCCTTAGATGCACCATCTATGCAAGTGTAATCATAACAGGCCATATTATTACATAGCTACTCCAAAAAAATTACCCTGGTCACTCATCTTGAAAATGTAGGTCAGATTCAGAATCCAAAGCAAGTACGGAAGTGTCCATCCCTAGACATATCATCTTTGCTAATCAGGTTAAAATATGGCTAAAATTCATTCATAAGGAAAATCTAGGATCAAGCTCCGAAGCATATTGGTAAGTGTACATCCCTAGATGCATCATCCATGAAAGTTTGGTCAAGGTAGGGCTTATAGTTACTTGGGAATGACCTTGCTCTAAAAACTTTAACCTGGTCACTCATCTGGAAAATCTACGTCAGATCCAGCATCCGAAGCAAGTCTGGTATTGTCCATCCCTAGATGCATCATCCATACAAGTTTGGTCAAGGTACGGCTAATAGTTACTTGGTAATGGACCTGCCTCAAAAACTAAATAACCTGGTTACTCATCTGGAAAATGTAGGTCAGATCCAGTATCTGAAGCAAGTCTGGTAATGTCTCTCCCTAGATGCATCATCCATGCAAGTTTGGTCAAGGTAGGGCTTATAGTTACTTGGGAATGGACCTGCTCCAAAAACTTTAACCTGGTCACTCATCTGGAAAATCTAGGTCAGATCCAGCATCCGAAGCAAGTCTGGTGTTGTCCATCCCTAGATGCATCACCCATGCAAGTTTGGTGCAGGTAGGGCTTACAGTTACTTAGGAATAGACTTGTTCCTAAAACTTTAACTGGGACTCCGATGCCAATGCCGGGGGGTATAGCATAAGCTCATCTCGACTTCGTCTAGGTGAGCTAAAAATGCATAGCTGGTAATTTTATTCGCATTTCTTGAAAATATATTTGAGATTTGATAATTTTCCCTATATAATATGATTATCTATAATGAAGAACTTTGAAGAAATTCCATGGGTAAATTCACGTTACTATGTGAAATCAGAGACATTTTTGTGAGCATTTTCAATTACTTAAAAGCTAATTTCCAGAACCTGAGGATCGGACTACCTTAAGTTACATTACAGTGATTGACTATGATAGGTGAATAGCAAAGGGGAATAACTTCTTTCAGTAGAAAATAATAAATTGACCAAAGGGTACAGAATTTCAAAATCGGGTAAAACACCCTTGCTTATTACAACTTTATATACTTTGTTTGTCTCCTAGATGCCAAGGAGCAGATAAGAAGATTTTCAAAGAAATAATCCATTTTCACTATACTTTCAATATAACCCCACTCTAATATCTAGCCCCTGACCCAGTGGCCAAGATATTCACAATTTTGGAAGAGGCACTCTTGCTCATCATAACCATGCACTTAGTATGTTTTCTTTAATAACAATGGGCAGAGAAGATTTTCAAAGAAATAATACACTTTCACTATACAATCAATAGAGCCCCCCCCCCTCCTGCAGAACCCCTCATCCTGGGGACACAAATTTCACAATTTTGGTAGAGGCATCCTTGATCATCATAATCATGCACTTAGATTATCTGCTTTATAAACAGGGGAAGAGAAGAAAATTTTTAAAGAATTTATGCATTTTCACTATATGATCAATAGAGCCCAACCCTAACTCCAGAACCTCTGACCCTGGGGCCATAAATTTCACAATTTTGATAGGGGGCTCAATGCTCATTACAATCATGCCAACAGTTTGACTGCTTGATGTCTAGGAGTAAAGTAGAAAAATCTTAAAGATTGCACTCATTTTGATGGTTTTGGCCCCAACCCCAAGGCCACAGGGGGGCAGGGACCATGAAATTCACAGTTTTTGTTCCCCTTCACTTGTAGATGTTATATGCCAAAATTGGTCAAAATTGGTTTAACAGTTGCAGAGAAGAAGCTGAAAATATTCAAATGTTAATGGACGACGATGAACAGATAGCAGTAGGTCACTTGAGTGACTCAGGTGACCTGAAAAAATATTTCACTTATTATTCTTAAAAGATAAACTTGCCTTCTGTTCTTCATACAGGCCATAGATCATTTCTAGTCCCTTCATCTGTTTCTGAACTTCTAGGAGGTTTGGATACATTGTAATGGGCAAATCAAATAGCTTCTCAGCATTGGCTAATTCTTGTCTGGAGGCCTCTAAATCATTAACCTCAACACGGAAAGTCTTCATCAATTCCAGACCTAAATAACAGAATGTTGGCAGTTGTAACCTTTATAAATCACATACAATGGTAATAGTCTGAGCAAGCAAAAGATTATTTTCTTTCACATTATTAAATGCTGATCCACCTTTTTCTAAATCTGTACCAACAGACCCAGGTCCATTATCATAAAACTTTTCTGAAAATTTCTCCAGTTCTTTCTTGAAGTTTTGAATTTGATCTTGGGTGATCTGAAAAAGACAGAAATATATAAGATCATACACTGCACTTCTCTCAATCATGTTCTTGATATGAATATGATTCATTTAATAAGTAGAAATATGTCCATAGGAAATAACTAGAAATATGTCCATTGGACTTGAATGCTCCACCCTACATGTATTGCAACATGCATGCATAAAAGAAATGTATCTTGTTTCTTTGGTCTGAGCCAAGCGTAAAATATGATGAATAAACAATAATGTTCATACAGAATGCCCTCCCTATAGTTGTTACCTTTAGTAGTTTAGTAGCATAGTATGTAGTGTTGATTATCATCCAATTGATCTACCACCTATAGTAAGTCTCAAATAGCAAATTTATATTATCATCTCTTATTCAAGTAGGCATAGCTATAATAGAGATTATCTTTGTATGCACTTGTATGAAGTAATCCTTCAAGGAATTCAATAAGATTGATCGATTAACTGTGTTGTTTTATGTCTCATTCAAGAATTTTTAACTCGTAAAAACATCATCAGATTTGGGTGAAGTGCCAAAATTTTGACCTATGCATGGCACTTGCAGCCAAAGCACGAGGATTCTTTATTATACCAATGCCTATCATCTCACCGGACCTACATTTTATATAAAATTCTTCTCTATTCTTACCTCTGTAAATTTAGTTTTGACAAGAGTAAGACCAGCATCTGTGTTCTTTGACTTCAATACCAAATCATCCCAGATCTGAGGCAGTTTCTCTTGAATCTCTTTTTCCTCATCAGTGACCTAAGAATTAAAAATGTCAAGCTTGGATAAACTTTTACACTTCATGTGTGTAATTCCAATTCTTAATTGATATAGCTCCGTTCCCCATGCTGAAATTAGCTAATATCTAACCTCAATATCATACATGGCAAGAGTTCTGTAGCGCTCCCTGATATCTCGGATTCTAGTTTCTACATCCAGGGATATAGACTTGATATCTGATATTGTTGTCAGGACAAATTTGAGATCCTCTAGAGAGCTGGGTGTTTGTTCTAAATCATCTGACTTGTCCTTTGTAATAAAACAAATAAATTACTGAAAACATTGAAATGCAGACAAATACAAACTTTAAAATGAATGCTGTTTATTCATTGGTTTGAAACCCAATATTCACAATCAAATTCTGTCACTGTGTTTAAAAATTCTAAGCATTAAATTTGTTTTTCACTTACATCCAATTCATCCCTGAGTTTGTATAGAGCTTCTTTAGCTGAGTCCCTTAAGATCTTTCCAAGATGTCCAATCCATTGCTTGGCATGCTCTTTCACAGAGGAAGCCAGTGGTCCCATATGGAGACGAATACAGTCCTGGTCTTTTACCAGTGGAAGAGTTTCAACTTCATCTATGGTTTTGTAATAATACTGTAGCTTGTCATCAAATGCCACAACTGTAGGGCCCTTTTGGTACCACTTTTCAGCAATGGCTTGCTGCAATGAAAAGCATTTTCATTAAAATCACAATAATCATTGCATACATCTGTTCCCTTTACACATGGTAACCATCACAATACAGTTAAAAATCATACTAAATGATATACTGGTATAATGTATTCTTTATATTCAGTTTATTTACTTGGATATAAATGCTTATTAGGATGTTTTGGTGCTGTAATTAGTACACAAATTTATGATCACTACTGAAATTTAAATCTATTTATTAGGCATCAAATATCAGTATATATCAATAAAGAAACATTTAGGTATCAATGAGATAGTGACCATCTCAAAAGGCCCACTTGTGGTAAAGGACTGCATGTGGATGAAAAGCGATTGTAAAGGACTGTATTCAGAGAGGACCGTTTTGTACTTTTGTTTTTTTTTTCTCGGTGTTAAAGAGATAAAAAATGCTCTTTCATTTCTTCTTTCTTTTTCTTTTGGTGAATAACTAAAAAGAACAAGACGTGTTTGTGAAACACATATAACAGCTCATTGCCAAGGTTAAAGTTTCTCAAATGCAAGTCAAACTCCAAGGTCAAGAGGTCAAAAATGTTGGTACCTAAATAAATGTCTTGACACAAGGAATGTAGATGTGAAATATGAAAGTGTATGCAATAACCATTTGGAAATCATGGTCAATGTTAAAGTTATTCAAAACTCCAAGGTCAAAGTCTTGAGGTCAAAAATGTTGGTACACAAGAAAGGTCTTGTCACTAGGAATATACACGTGAAATATGAATGCCCTAAACAAAGTTATGACCAAGGTTAAAGTTCTTCAAAATTAGGTCAAACTTCAAGGTAAGTCAAAAGGTCAAAAATGTTGGTAGTCTCACCCATCCTATCTTTTGACTTTTCTTGTTTATATCCCCTAGGAATTGGGCTTTGCCTTAAATCTATAAAAATTAGAATTCCCTTTATCCAAGGATGTTTTGTGCAAACTTTGGTACAATTTAGAATATCTTTTATCCCAGGATGCTTTGTGCAAACTTTGGTTTAAATTGTTCCAATGGTTTTAAGAAGAAAGTTGAAAGTGTGAAAAGTTTACAGAAGGACAGATTGATGCCGGGCAATGATCAGAAAAGCTCACATGAGCTCTCAGATCAGATGAGCTAAAAAGCCACATCATTTTTTTTTAATTTTGAGAAATCAATCTGAAAATATCAGGGTCATTTGTTAAAATGGTAAATATCATTTCTACAAAATTTTAAAAATATCATTCAGAAGTTATAAGATACTTTTAACCAACTATTATTCACAACTTTTATTCATTGGTGATTTGTTAGTTTGAAATCAATCCGCCACTCTTAATTTTGATGACTAAGGAACCATTCTACATGGAGCCCAAGTGCATGTATTGATATATAACCAAAAACAGGTTGAAACTGGTTCGGCCATTTCAGAGAAACAGCTGATAATGCTCAAAAGTTGAAACCATAAAAACAGAAGAGATGAAAACCCATAGCAATTTTGTTGGGTCACCTGAATTATACTGGCATTTTTACTTGAAATTCAATGGCACCTACAAATAATACAATTTTATTTATTCCTCTGTAAATGTTTTCTCTAAACATATTTAAAATATTAATGCATACACATTATAAATATACACACCTTGTCAACTTTCCAAATACTCCTATATTTCTTCCATCTGTTGAGGTACCTTGTCATGTTGGTAAGAGTATTTTTGATATCAGTCTGAATGGTTTGGACATAGTCTATGACTTCTGGATTAGCAGAAATATCCGTGAAAAAACAGAAAATGTAAGGTTCATCATCTCCTTCTACCTTCTGGGGTGGAGTCTCAATACAGGTTCCTTGCATCCATCTCACAAATAACTTAGTTCTGTTAAATGATATATAAACAATGATTTAAGTAAAATAAAATGTCTTTTTTACAATCACAAAATCCCTATTGATAAAACAAGATGTGTTTGTTAAATACTGATGCCCCCATATAGCAGCTCATGGCCAAGATGATAGGTTTTCAAAAGTAGGTTAAAATCCAACTTGAAGGTAAAAAAAATGGCACCCAGAGAAAGGTCTTGTGAAATATAAAAACCCTTAGCACCAACTATTCAGAATTTATTGCTAAGGTTAAATTTTTCAAAGGTTGGTCAAGCTCAAAGGTCCAGTTCATGGGGTCAGAAATAGTGGTACTCAAAGAAAGGTCTTGCCACAAGGAATACACTTGTGAAATACAACAACTGTTGACAAGTTATTGCTAAGGTTAGGTCAAACTACAAGGCCATGAGGTCAAAATAATGGTATCTGAAAAAAGGTTATGTCACAAGAAATACACATGTGAAATATGAGAGCCCTAGTACAACCATTCAGAAATTATAGCCAAGGTTAAAGTTGGTTAAAATTTTACATAATTAGGTCAAACACATAGGTCAAGTCATGAGATTAAAAGTACTGGTACAGGAATACACTTGACGTAACATATGAAAGCCCTAGCACAAACTGTTCAAAATTTATGGTTAAGTTTTTGGACAGTCAGATCTAAAACTATATGCCCAGAAAATCTGATTATAGGGGCATAACAATCAATATCACTCAGATCTAGAGCTAACATATTCAATTAAATTTTAACAAATGCATGTACTGGGTTTTCTGATAATCTCAAACTGACTATTCACTACAAATTTAATAGAAAATAAAACAGAACATGCAGCTTTTTAAAGAGGCTTAAATTTCCTACCCTTCCACACTATCTCTCACACACTGAAGAGTCAACTTGTACACTTCATTGGCTTGGGGGTGAAGCACCACATCAGGAGCTGCTAAAAGAGTCTCCACCTGATATAAAGGTTTGTCTGTCCGCAGAGCCAATTCAAATCTGCGTAAATTGTTCATAATTAACTTGGTTAGAGCATCATACACTTTCTTCTCCCAGTAAGAGTAATATGCATGTAACTTGGGAGATCTTCCAGAGTTTGTGTGCACAACAAGTCCTTCCATTTTTGTCAGTAATGGTCCTATAGCTCGATATTTTCTGGCTAGAATCTCAAAATCTTTGGCTCTTTCTTTTTCCACATGTTCAAAATACTCCTACAAATAAAAAATGTAACCTGAATAAAATAGTATTTGACATTTCTTCAACATTTTGAAATCATAATGTGTATAATACTAGCAGTCTCTGAGTCTTCATGGTCACCTGGGTATCATGAGTTTCTCAGGCTATGACCACTTTACCAAACTCTGGTCTCGGGTGACAAAAATTTAAAGTTTGATGAGGACTCTAATTATCATTATCAAATTCATACAGCTTGTCTCCTGGAAGTTCGACAGTAAAGAAGATAAGGTACACTGCATAATAAATTCCAATTTATGACAAACATAGCCCCACTTTGGGGCCTGATCCCAAGACCTTAAGACCTTGAATAAATAGGAAATAAAACTTAGCCCAAAACTGGTAGAGGGCTAAGTGTTAATGATAATAATACAACTAGTCTTACAAGAAAAGAAGAAAATTTTCAAAGATGTAATGTATTTCCAATATATGACCTATGTAGCTGAACCTGGGGCCTGAACAATGGGTCTGAAAGGTCATAAATTTGGTGTGGGGCTAATTTTTTTTTTTAAAAGAGAGAGAGAAAGAGAGACAGTTTGCCTGTTCAATGCCCATGAATAGACATGTCTTTTTTTCATTTGGTTTACTATTTAGCTGACCCTATTATCCCCCATTTATGAAAATAAAAATAACAAATTTCTTGTAGGAATGACCATGAAGTTTCAGTCTGTGTACTTGTTTATCTATTTTGGGCACTGAAATCAACAATACTTCCCAAGTTGTCCAGGACAGAAGGATTTAGAACTATATTGATGGAGCTATTCAGCCCAAAGTGAAAAATGCATTTAAAGTGAACAATATGTAAACAGTGGCTGAAAAATATACTCATTTGGTGTTACAATTTTTATTCAAATCAGAATGCAGGTACAGAATTGTTTTAATTTTCAACCACCCAATTCATACCAGCATTCCAGCAAAAAATCTTAAACCAAAAATAAAAAAATTAAAACTTTGGCCACAGGAAGGTTTTTCAAAGATGTAATGTATTTTCAATATGTGACCAATTTAGCCACATCCAAGGCCTGAATCATAAACCCAGGGGCTGTGAACTTCAAAATTTTGGTTAAAGGTTAAGTAGTCATTTTAATTATTAGCAAACAGTATGCCTGTCCTACATCCATGAGTATAAGAAGATTTTATGAGATACTATGCATTTTCAATACATGATCAACTCAGTCCCAATTCCTGGAACCTAAATCCTAGCTGAGCCCTGATGGGCAACAGATAACACACAATAGACAATGCATGATGTACAATGAAAAGAGAGAGCAATAGATTACCTGAGTGACTCAGGTGACTTAACTTTGCCCTTCCTACTCTTACCTTACAGCTTGGCAGAGTGTCTGGATATTTCTGAGGTTGTGGTTTAAATAGATTTGAGTTCTCAATCATCTGCAGTCTCTGGTTAATATCTTTTGCATTCTTTTGTATTTGGTTGACAAGAGATTCAAATTTTCCAATAGCCTAAAAAGAAATGTGTGACTTGTTCTCAATTTTTCTGCCTCAGTAAAAGAACAGTAATTTAGAAGTTGATTGTATTTTCCTATTTCTTGTATTTTCAAATAAGAGGTCGCAATCACTTTTTGCTGAACATGACTTACATTTCTACACTTGAGAACAAAGTCATTGATACCCAAGGAGTTCCAGTTCAATCGTTTGGACCCTGGTCTAATCACCCGACGAAGGTCTCTCATGTGATCCTCCAACAAACTTGTCTGTAAAATTATCACTGAATTTTAAAGAAATCATTCAAATAAACTTGCAAAAAGTGTGATCAATGAACCTCCACATCTCTAGCCCCATGAAGTTGGTGTATTAATTGTTGATCACAATCAAGAATATTCTCCTTTTTTTAAATTTTTTTTTTCCAATTTTAGCAGCCAGTTTTATTTTCTTACCTCTGCTTGATCCAAAGAGGACAGCAATGCATGATACCTACTCAGCATGAAGCGTAGACCCTCAACATAATTAATGTACTTTTCTTCCTGTTGAATGAAAACAAAATCATGAAGTAATTTAGAAGTCCCATCCACTTACATGTATTCTTGTAGTATTTTACCCTTTTCTTGAATCCTTGGATATCTCTAAGTTATTTCTCGGTCCCATGGAGTTCGGGATAATAAGGTTTGACTGTATATAAATACAAATTTACTACTTTGTGATATTCAGTGAAGATACCATTAACCAGGACACCAAGAACTTGATTTTTGCTTAATTTAAACAAAATTGTATGCATTATTCATATATAATTTCTTGCTCCAAAGACAACTAAAAGAAAATGATTAACACTTTCATTCATTTTATTATTTTGTGACTATACCCATTATATTACCTGTAAAGCTACATTTCTGGCTAATTCAGGAACCGAAAATCCCAGTTGTTCCATGTATCTGGTCTCAGATATAATTTCTGTCAGCTGTGGATCAAAGTCTACTAAGAATTTCAGTTGAACTCCTGCAAAATCAGTTAGCATTATTAAATTCTGGGGAAAAATCTGACATTTTTCTTAATTATGTCTTAAAAGTTTTTAAAACAATTTTGTTTTTAATATTAGTAAATATGTATATGGTTTGTCTACTTAAGAACGTTTAGAATGTGCTGTAAGAAATATTGTGAACTTGAGATACCTAAACTAAGAAATAAGATCTGAATCAATATGATAAAATATGAATTCTCTTGTTTATGCTATAAAATTCTTTAAAATCCCACAGACACAATTCCAAACAGAAACAGGTGCTCATACATGTGCAGTCAAAACTCCTAAATCTTAACTGAAGAATTATAGCATTCAAGTATTACAAGTAATTACTGTAAAAAGAAAACAAAAAGAATTTAATTATTTCTTTATGCTTATTCATGATTTCTTTTAGAGGACTGACTTTTTAAAAAATAATTTACTTTAGAAATTGTCTACGATCTCTCAACTTTCTCGTACAAATTCTCACAAGTCATATCAAAATAATTTCTAAAGGTTTCTACAGAATTACATGGTATGATCAATACCACAATTGAAGCATGTTTTTTTCTTCATCTCTGACATTAAAATTATAAAAATTAAGATAGATATATCAAAGTAAATCATCTATCTGACAACTATTTTCCTAGTTTTAATGTGCACATGTAAGTGTCAGATCAAAACTCTTTTACATATTTCTAGAGCCATTAGTCAAACTAAATAGAATTACTTTCTTTGATTTGCTCATGAAGATCTGACTAGACACAAAGGATCTAACATTACAACATTTCATTTAGATTCATCTCAGACTGCATGACCTTTCATCTAGCCAATCAGCCCATAGCTATCAAAACCATTGGTATAAACTATCAATCACATTGCTTAAACCAATGAGAATAAAGGACAAGGTAAAGATTGACAAAACTTTATTGCTAATATGGCAATGTAATCCTTCATAATGACCAGATGTTCCATTTTGGTGCATTGATATGACTTCAATTTGACATTAACAAAATCTGCAACATGCTCAGCAGGAAACAAATTGTGTTAACAGTGTTTTTCTTAAATGTATATATCAAAGGCTGGAGATCAGTTTTAACAGGTACCTCGACAGATCAGTGGCAGACCTGCCAACCCTTTTTGATAGAAAGACATAATAAAACGGTATCTATAGGACACTGGACAAATAAAGTCAGATGCTGAAGGGATATGCTTTAACCAGAAAGACAAAATTTCACCTTATTGTTAAATATAGAGATGCATAAATGTGAAATAAAGAAAAAATGTCATTACAGAATATGAATTTGAATGATTGCAGGTATTATCAGAAGATTTGACCTGATCATTCAATAATTCAGATTAAATTTCTGTAATTTAATTCAGCCATAAAGTATCAAAGTATAAGTTTCTATAATTGATTATTTAAAAAAATGTTAATGTCTCACTTTAATCTGATGATTTTCTCAATCTTTTTCCAGTTAAAATATTTTTGGCTTTAATTATACATGTAACTTGACATTTTTTCTGCCTTTTTAACACTTTAAAGTCAAGTTGTTACAACAAAATTTGTTTAACTTTGAGATATTTATCCAGCAGTTTTATTAACTGAATGGAAGTGGTCAGAAATTTGCTGATGGCTGGTTCCTAGGGAAAACACACTGCAAGATTGATTTCATTGTCAGAAACCCATGGTCTCTTCTATACGCGCTTACTGAGTGTATGTGAGATTTACCACAGGTGCAGGTCTAATCTTAAATCTATGATGCCATAGACAGTTTCCATTGGCTCTTTTATATCTATATAAAAGGTCAAGCTGAGATGTATCTAAAATGGATGTTGTTTGAGATAATGAAGTTTAATTTTAATTGAATTGAGAGCTAAATTTTCAACCACATGCATTTTGGAAAGTGCATTGTACAGGAGATTTAAAGGACTATGAGCGTTAAGAGAGAGCTAGTCCAGCACAAGAGGCTCAGCATAGGGTTTCTACAGATGGATAACACTTTAAAGATAATTTACACCTGTATTTCTAAGCCTTCCAAATACCAAATATTTTTTTTTCCAATTTATAATGGTAAAAATAATCTACACGAACATTTAAATTTATACAAGCAGGTGTAAATCACACAAGAACACAGATCTATGAAAGACATCTTGTCTGATTAAGACCACTGCTTGCAATTGATCAACACTTTTCCTAGACTGTGTTCTCTATACTGAAGTCTGCAAGAAAAACATGGCTAACACATTAGTGGCACAGCAACAGGCTAGTTTACCCTGGTTACTCTGATCAGAAGGCTGATCAGCTTCCTGAGTTTCTCCCTCGGGTTTAACACCCTGCTGCTCTTGTTCTGGGTTTATATTTGCATGATGCTGGTGTGCTACATATATTGAACAATCATGTCATGAAAAGATCCACAATCCATGCTTCTGCATGCACAATTTACAATATAGTTAGGTTAAAAGCTTGGAAAAAAAATTTCATTTCCATAATATATTAAAGCATGTCTTTAGGAAAAAAATTATTACAGCAGTAAATAATTTACTGTAGACATATAGTTTTTCCACCTGGTACATATTTACTACAGTTGAAAAATACGTATTTATTGAATTTTGTTTCCATGTATACTGCACAATGCTTAGCACGTGATTATAATGCAATCAAAACAAACGGATTTTAATGAAATTATATCATGATAATTCTTAAACTTGAATTTACATAAAAATTCATGGAATTTTGTACCTGTAGACTAGACTGTAAATGAACCTGAAAATCTACTAGCTTAATATCTCACCCAGTTGAAATAAGCATGCATGTCTACAGTAGCGTATTATCTTATGATTTATGATTTGATTAATCATTTCTATTTCAAATTAATGCAAACAAATTAGGAAAATGTTAATAAAGCTTGATGTTGCACAATTTAAAGATTACAGAGCTCACCTCGACAAAACAAATGTTCTGATAGTGTGCATCCCTAATAACATGCAACATCTATGCAATTTGGTCTGGGTAGAATTTATAATACCTAAGGATGGACCTGCTCCAAAAAACTTCATCTGTTCAATCACCCAGTATAAGTGACAGATCCAGCATCCAAAGTATTTCTGGTAGCATGTAGGTCAGATTCAGCATCTGATAGTACATACTATCAATTCAAGATACATAAGGGCGTGTACAGATCAGTCATCAACTCAATTAACTTTCTTAAAACATGTATATATTTTAAATGAAAATTAATTGTTGAATGTACCCTATTGTTTTCTGCCATCCATTGTGCAGGTGTTTTACATTCTTTGCAAGGATTGCAAATGTGCAAGTGTTTGCACTGTTTGCTAGTGATAGAAGACTGGTCATAGGAATACAAGATTGTAATGGACAAGAACAAACATACAACAGTTCCATACGGTAATCAAAGATTTTTTTTGGAAAATTTAAATAAAGATAGCCTGCAACAACATCAAATGGGACAATTAAGCTATGAGTTTTTCCAAGTCATTTGAGTATGTTATAAGCCAAATATATTAACTGGATATGGAGTAACCCATATTTATTCTTGTAGTAACTTGGGAATGGACCTGCTCCAAACACTTTAGCATATTCAATCATCCACAAAATGTAGATCAGATCCAGCACTGAAAGTAGGTCAGGTAGTGTGCATCCCTAGAAGCATCACCCATGGAATTTTCTTATCATTACTTGGGAATGGACCAGCTCTTAAATCTTTAACCTGTTCAATCATGTGAAAAATGTAGGTCAGATACAGCATCTCAAGCAAGTTCGGTAGTGTGCATCTCTAGATGCATCATCAAAGCAAGTTTAGTCACCATAGGCCTCATAGTTTCTTGGGAATAAGACTTTAACCTACTTCAAAAATTTAATTCTGCTCCCAAAAAAATTAATCTGGTCATTGTCTGGAAAATATTGGTTGAAAATGAAGTGTCTGAAACGTAAGTGGTACAATGAAGCATACTAGATGTAATCAATAAAGGGCCGAGTTACTTGAAATTAATAAATCTGCTCCCAAATCTTTAACTGTGATGCTGAAGCCGACGGTAAAGCATAAGCTCCCACGACTTTGTCGAGGTGAGCTAAAAATGACAAAAGCAATTTTTAAGCACATTATTTGAAGTTTAATTTTTTTTTTAACATATCCAATTCATTTGTTTACAACCTAGCTGTAGTAATTCCTTTTATGTACCTGCTTCATCAGCTGCTTTCTGGGCAGCTACTCTCATTTCCTCTGCTGCATGATGGGGCTTTATCAGAAGATTTCTCTTCAGCAGAGATGGCAAGTGCTGCTCTACATTCTGTCTCCATTCTTCATATTTTTGATCTTCGTAGAACTTCATCTGCCTTGCTACACTTAGGTATTTTGCCCGTGCCTATGAAATCAAAGATATGTTTACATTTAGTATCTAATTTACTGTCCTCTCTCCAGATTTTATCAGGAATCTGATTTTGAACCCTCTCTACCACATGTCTGCTGAAGTAGTTGAATACATGTGTAACTCAAACTATCTATATTAAGTCATGCTCAATATATGCAAGCATAGCAAAGTCTGTAAAACTGCTATAACAGAAGAATGGAAGGACAGGAGGATAGAATGATGGACAGAAAAGAGGAACTGTAAATAAAGCTTGAGTCTTACGAAGAAGATTCTAGTGAAGAACTTTATACCAAAAAGGATCAACCATGATCACTTCTCAGAAAACCCCTGGCAAATTTAATTCAATAATTTGTGGGCTGACTGTAGCGACATCTTTCAGAAAAATTACAAATCTTGATTGTTCTTCTTATCTCTCAACCAATCACATTAAGCCATTCTATGATAAACAACTGGTAACACGTGCATCTGAGGTGTTAACTGAATCCTTTCTGTTTACATTATCTAACTCTTTATGAAAGCTTTAATTTGATTGGTGCTTCTCAATGAGAGAAGCAAACCCTAAAATATCAAATGAAATTTGCCAGGGGTCTAACGGCAACATGTTGACTCAGGACCCCTGGCATTGCGAGAATGTACCAGTAATATCACAAGTATGACAAGTGATTAAGACATTAAAATTAAAAACTGTAATAATGAACTTTTTTTAATTTAAATCATAACTTACATGTTTTCCCATTTCACTCTGCATCATATCCTCCATAGTGAGAAAACGAACAATGGTGTGCTTAATGCGATGAAATAAGGATCTTTCCCAGAATATAGCTCCTGCCACTGGGGGGTGATTTTTGTGAAGAGGAGGATTGTCCTTTTGAGCCTGAAACAGCTCATCCATTGTCGTCACCTGTGGTTGAAAAATATATTGGATTAGCATTATAAGTCCTAGAACATAAATGTGATAAATAAGGAATTTAGCTTATTTAATGAGAAGCAAATGATCTGTTATGAACCCACTTCTACCACTGAAGTTATCAAAAGCATATGTTATGAATTCCTATAAGAGTTAATTACTTCTTTCTCATATTGCACCAAAATGTCTTTGAATTTCTGCATCATCTGGTCATTGATAGCTTTCCTGGATCTGATGTGTTTGAAGTTAAGCAACATATCAAAAGCACCCTCAGCAGAGCGCAAAGACTGAAAAGACTCGTCAATAAACATCTTTGCTTCTCCTTCTATGGACTCCACTTGTTTGTAGAAATGTTCCATCTGACTTTTCCATGAGTTTTTGTGCTGAATCTCAAATGGATCAAATCCCACTTCCTGCAGGGGTTTGACTAGGTTGTCCACTCTGAGTAAGACTTCTTCAATTCGTTTAGGGTCACCTGTGACAGCTTTAAGCTCAGGTCCAAAAATATTGTAAAATTCCTCAAGCACCTACATTGAAAATACACATTTATTTTACCACAAAAAAGGAAATATTTTCCATAAAAAGTTGACTTTATTTTCAATATTACATGTATTTCAGTTCTTATAGGTATTAAAAAAAATTAACAACACAAAAAAGAACAAAACAACAAACAAACCAAAAAAAAAAAAAAAGAAAGAAACAACAAACAAAAACAACACCTCACTAAAGCCATTACTTGCAGATTTCAAAATTTTCTGTCTCAACTTTAATACTGCTCTTTACATACCTGGGCAACATCATACAAGTTCTGACAGATAACAGCCATGTGATCTGTTCTTTCAAAGAGCTTCTTCCTATCAAATTCCCACCTCTGGTCCCGCCCAGAAGCCTCAATTTTAGCACGGACCTCAAAATACTGCTCTTTCCACACCTCCAGCATCCTTTTGGCCTCAGAAGTTTTGACTTTCACCTCCTCAGTATTTGTCACTGGACCTTCACCTCTGTAAATGAAAAGGTTGAACCTTCACATATCATAATACACAAATTGACCTTATCATTAAAGTTAAAGCAACTTATTCAATTTTCATGTTTTTAAGATCATTCAATATCCTAACAAATAAATACAAAGAAAACCTTACCCATATATTGTCCTTATGTTGATAACTTTACAGACTCTCTCTGCCAACTCCCAGGCAATTCTGCTCATGAGAGGCACCATTCTTTCATCCTTGTTATAATGCCTAGATATGATCCAGACCATACGTAGAGCATTCATCATTGAAGGAATGGTCTCAATTACTACTTGGAATGTAGCTCCATGAGTAATATTTTTGAAATGCCTTTCGAGAGTCGACAAAAATCTCACATTGTCCTTAGCTTCAACATAGTACTTATTTAACTCTGGCTTCAAATCACTGAAGTCCATCTCTACTTGGTTATAAATTTCAATCATGCGATCAACAATAGGGAGTTTTAACTGCTCGGTTAAAGCACTTAGAGAAGCATTTCTTTCTCTCCAAAAATCAATTTCTGCCAGAGGCCCTTTCCCTTGTGGCATTTTCTTGAGTTCTGCATCCAGTGCACCTCTCACTTGTTTTGCCCACTCACAACATGAGTTTCTTATAATGGACATTAAATCATTATCTGCCAAAATTTCTTCCATTTTAAGGTCACCAAGCTCAATGTCTGGAATTTCCAATCTAACTTCTCCCTCAATCTGCTGAATGGTCCTGTTAATTCCAGAGGCAAACTTCTGCATGTTTATAAGAAATTCATCTCTCAACATGGCTTTAGCTCTAGATTCAGCTATATTAATCTTGGGCTCCTCTTTTTCACTACTATCCTCTGTTACCATGGAAGCTTCTGTTGCCTTGGTATCTGCACGACTTACAGCTCTAGCCTCTTGTTTCCGATCCCCATTTCGATGTTGGTTGTATGACAATAGAGGCATGTACACCTAAATATCATAAATTGTAATTTTTATACTGTTATATGTTGTGTTTGGATAAATTTTGCTGGAAATTATGTGTGATGACATTCAACTATTTGAATCCTATATTCAAAAAGATTTTGCACAGTGACTTAACTTAAAATCTCATACCTGAGAAATGATTTGTTCAAGCATAACAAGGGAATGGCCATTGAGAATACCCATCTCAAAGTATCCTGGAAGTTCTGCATTGGCTTCTTCAGAACTGTTAGGGAGGGGAACCATCCCTGGAGTGTTTCTCAAGAAATATACACACTTTGTATCGGCCACCTCCTCGGGAAGATGTTGGTAACACATGTACAGGTAGGTCCTCATTACTTTCTGAATTATTATTTTCTGAAACACATTATCAAATATGAATTATGGGTAACTATTCATTCTCTGAAAATAAACTACAATGGGCATCACCAGTAAACCATGGATTTTCTATCCATTCAAACTAAAAACCTAGGGTTATCAGCAATGTGCACACCTGAAATTCAATACTTTATCTAGAAATATGTCCATAGGACATGAATACCTCACCCAAGGTACATCTGTAGTACAACATACCAGTGGTGGGAATTACCAGTGGTAAATACTTGTATTTCCCATCATGGTAAATACTACAGATTTTCTCTAAACAGGGAAATATTGGGAAATACTGGAAAATTTCTTTCATTCATTCAATCTTATGCAAAATTCAGAAGTAATAAATAAACATAAAACAGAAGATGAATAATATTGAATATGTATGTCTCAAACTGCAATTTAACAAATTCAGAGTGTATCACTACTACCCATAAGCATTCTGTAGCAGTAAATGTTTCAGTAAATATGTAGCTATTTCTTATTTCCCAGTATTTCCTGGGAAATACAAGTAATTCCCAGGAATTACCAGCATTTCCCAGTGTCCTGGGAAATATGAGTGTTTCCCAGTTTTTATCCAACCCTATAATTGTTCCCTGTTGCCCATAAATGCTTTTCCAAAATTGGTTGAAATTTGGTTCAGCAGTTCCTGAGAAGAAGATGAAAATGTTTAAATATTAATAATGTATGCCATACAACGACTTAAGAGCAATAGATCACCTGAGTGACTCAGGTGTCCTAAAAATTGTCTTGAACAGTTTCTTTGAAACCAAACTAGATGCAAATCATAACAAATAGACAGATGGAAGGACAGAATGAAGATAGATGACAAACACTACATGCCTTGGCCATATTCATGGCAGGGCATCAATGTGTTCTAATTCTAAACAAGAAATGTCATGGTTTATATAAAATGATATTCTATATATTATCATCTTCATAAATTGAAGATGATATGTGTATATCTGTTACTAATATCTAAGATTTGTTTTCTCACTACCCTTACAGTTTTTGGCTGTTTGTTCTCTGGGTTTTCTTCCTCAGCTCCCTCTCCTTCCGCTGTTTCCCCTTGATCGCCCACCTCTGATTTGCCTCCCTCTCCATCCTGAGGGGTTTTTGCAGTATCTTCAGCCCCATCCTTATCTGTAGCCTCACTTTTGGCTCGCTTCTTTCGTCTGCCTATTTTATTTTAAATCTTTATATTATTGTACTGTGCATTAAATTTGATATTTTACATTTATACTACAGTATATGTTCAAAAAGTTTTCTAAGAATTTTATTGAATTAAATTGAAATATGTCTCTAATATATTATGAATTTTATGAAGCATGGTAAATTTACCCTTTTAAAAATAATATTGCTATTAAAATATGTTCATTTCTGATATTCTATCTGTATTTTTTTTATTTCCATAAAGTACATGTAGCTGTGTTGTCTCTATTCCTCTATACTAAAGATATATATCTGTGTTAAGAAAGCAACCCAACTGAAAACCAACATTTTCTGACCATTTGTAGATTTTTCCACTCAATCAATAAAAAGCACTTTACATAAAATATTTCTTACATAAGACTGCTAAACTCAATTTGATTAAAATACAGTTATTTAAGTTTTAAAATATTACAATTGTTATTAATTTCACAAGCAGACATTCCGATTAATTACTGCCAGGTATATAGTAATTCAATCATGTTGATTTAACTGACATTCAGCACAGAACAACACAAAATCTTGGTTAAAAATTACATTCTGACAGGTATAGTTCATACAACATAATGAACATATATTCAAACATTTCAGGGAAAAGCACTGGATAAATCTTTGATGGTATTGATTACACACTCTATTTCACACTATCAAAAAATTAATAGATTGCAATTTAATAATGTGCACTTCATTATGTCTTTAAAGATTGCAGCTTCTTTCCCCCCATAAAATGTGACTTAGACTATCGCAACAACCCTATTTGCAAAATACCTAGAATTGAAATATATATAAACAGGTCAGAAAAATTACCATATATATACCATATACATGTATATATATATAAACTATTGCATTTCTATTTATCACTTGTTTCCACCAATCTGATCAATTAATTTCTTTAAGATTGTGTTTTAACAAAGGATATCTACAGACCCCCTCGTAGATTAACAAATAAAAAAAATCTGAATTTTACACGTAATTTTTGCTTTTACTGAATCCTTGATATATGTCACCCTCTTGAAATATCATTTTTACCAAATTAAGGTCAAATAGACAATATTTATCTTTATTTCAGATAGATCGAGGTACATTTTTTACATCCAATGCCCATGCAGGGATTGCATCCATTACTCTCAAAAGTAATCGGTTAAATTACAATTACTTTGGATTTTCAAAGTAATCGATTACGATACATAGAATTATGCATCTTAGTGTAGTCTTCTTGAGTGCCAAGTTATATTGAACTAAAACTTCTTTTTTTAGTTACCATGGCAACACTGTTCGTTGAAAAATAAAAAAAAAATGATAAAGAGAATTATGCATCATAGTGTAGTCTACTTGTGCCAAGTTATATTGAAATCAGACCAAAATTGTAGGAGTAGCAGCAGTATAAAAAAATTGATTACAAATGGACAGACAGACATATGGTAAATTAAGACAATGGACACCTTACTATCGCACAAGCTCTTTCTGGTCGCTGAGCAGTAGAGCTAATTAGAATCCTTTCTTAGACTACATGAACACAAATTAAAATAATGATTCATGACAATAAATATTTGTGAGTAAAAGAAGGTTGTGAAAATCAGCTATTTCTTGCACCTTAATTTAATACAAGTTGATTTTATGTCATATAGAACAGAATCACATAGTTTCCAAGCAAATTAAGGTAAATTTTCTGACCTGTTAAAGTGCAGAGTGCATAAATTTTTTACCACTTGTATTTTATAGTTTTTGGCTATCTGATTTAAAGGCTTTTGTAATCTGAAATTGCTACGTAGTTGTATAGATTGCATGAAGTCTTGCCACTTGTTAATCACAGTTGTTAATCATAATTACTTATAGACATTAGTGTTAAGTCTGGGTTAAATCTACTTCAAATCTGTGGAGCTAGCTTACCTGAAGAAGGTGTCCCTATATATATTCAAATAACCAAGATCAATTTAATTGCAAAAAACAATCAATCAATCTTAAGGAAAAGTATGACCCCCTATGTTATTCCATTACAAAATCAGCTAGAACATATTGCTACAATTTTACACTTTTGTCCTTGTCCATGACCATGGTGCAGGGTTGTCTGGTCACAGGCAATCTCTGAAGATTGCACTTGTGTATAGTATTTTTTTTTTTTTGCTGTTGACTTAATCTGCTTTAAAGTTATTTATAGCCAAGAAAGGAATTTTTCATTTCTAAGACTTAACCATGGTGAAGTTAGCCATAAGCATCAGTTCATTGTAAGCATGCTAAATATACAGTGAAACTTGTCTAATCCAGATGTTGTATATTCTGAAATCTTTTTTAATACGATGAAAACTTTAAGTCCCGTTCAATAAATTCAATTGTTTAAGATGTTGTCTAATCCTGAATGTTGCCTAATCCGGTCAATTTCTTTGGAACCAGTGATGTCCGGATTAGACAAGTTTTACTATAATGGTGTTTTAGTTTTACTGTATACTAGAATCTTAAGTTTCTCCAATTCAAAGTTCTGGCTTGAACAACGATTGGAAGACCTTATTATGTTCCCCAAACAAAAGAACAATTTTTTTACTTGGTTCCTTCTCAAGGTCTCCTGAATTTCCAATGAAAGACCTTACAGTGCAGTATTCAGATCATGCTCCTGAGTCTTGTAAGTTGGCTGGGAAACAATTCTTTTGTTTGTTATTTTCAATGTCTTCCTTTTCTACTTTTTTTTTATTATTAAGGTCTTCTGTCTTAGTGGAAAATCTTCCTAGTGATAATATTATAAAAGTTTACCAATTATTTATAAGGCTTATTTCACAATCCTTTTCACATAAAGGGGGAAAATGAATGGTTTTACTACAGTGTAGAAATTAATCCCAATTTTTTTATGTTATCTGTGTCCTAGAGATATATATTTGGCAATCTTGATTTTCCATGTTTTTTAAGATAGTAGCATTCATCAAAACTTAGAAACAAATTCGGCTATTCTATATTTCCATGGCAACAGTGAAAGTTATTTTAAGAAAAATATTGCTATTATACATATCACATGGCTCTGAGGGTGACATATCAGAATATTTACCCCAAGGTGACAGGAAAGCCCTGGAGTGTTTTGTCACCTAATGTCAAAGACAAAGGTTGACATAACATTTAAGGACTTTACTGTTACCAAGGGGCAAATATTCTGGTATATATAAATAGTCACCAGAGAAGTCATGTGGTGTATCTTAAATAAGATTCTTAAAATACCAAAAAAAAAAACAAAACAAAAACAAAAACATTTAAATCATTTAAGTTTAGACAAATAATTTAAAGGTGGGGGTTTTTTTTGTTGACATTTTTAACTAAGATCTGTTGTTTACATTTGCTTAGCAACAGACTTCATTAAATCTCCGACCTGAGCTATAATGTGTAGCATTAAAACACACAAGAATGATCAGGAGGTTGTTATAACTATTTCAGTTGTGTGTTATGTTTCCAGCATGTGTTATAATTGTTTCTGGCGTATGTCACTTTAAAAACTTATGATGGCAGTCCTCGGAAGGAGCCACAATATTTGAAAAGCAAATTTTTCATGCATTGTTTTCAGAAGAGTTCAAAGCTGAAAAATTATACCATGTCACCATAGTGTGTGTTATAATTGTTTCTGGCTTAAATTATGCCATAACTGTTTCTGGTGTGATTCGATCAGCATTCTTCAGGGTATTTAGTGAAACATATTACATTTGTAATATGATAGAAAAATCTATTCAAAAATGTTATATAACCTTTTAATATAAAGTCAAATATTTTTATTGTTTCTTTTTGTGTGTTGTTGATTGAATTTGATCATGTAATACCTATCATTAGTCAATATTGATCATTTTTCAGCATTTAAAATGTATTCAAAATGTATCCAAGGTTACCTTTACAATCATTTTTAAAAAAGAGACAGGCTACTGATCGAGTTGATGTGTCAGGGATTTCAAAGACCTTGTTTGAAGTCAGCACAATTAAATATAAGAAAATAAGTATTAAAAGTGAAATGAGAGCTATTTGACTGGTTATTTACATTCTTATTAATTTCTTTACAGCATAGGTGGCAACAAGGTGTAATGTTTTTGCGAGCGTGGTTAATTTGCTTTTCTTATTCTTTATTCTTTACTCTGTAAAGATTCAAAGTAGTTGAAAATATCCGTGTTTCAAATTTTTCTGGCTGTTACCTTGGAAACCAAGATAAAAACAGACAAATTTGTGTAATATATGTTTCTTGTGTCAAATAAGCTATAATAATGAGCAAACTTTCATCAAAATTGGTCACCAACAGATACAACAGGCATTTATAATTTTGAAATAATTGCTACATTCTATAAAGTCAGCTGACACTCTGCCTTTCACCATCCTTTGTTTCTAGCATCTAAATCAGTAAATTGTACTCCTGTACATTTTACTTATCTATCCCACCACACCACCAACACAATCAAATTAAATAAACTTACATTTAAAACATATATATAAACCAGTAAATATTTTCATATTGACTAGCTACCTATTTGTCTCCCACCACTTTACCTTTTCTACTGTGGCCTAAGTTTGTCCATAAGAATACATACATATTACATATAATATATATATCAATATTAATAAGTATAATAGAATATGGGCCACAAATCTCACCGGAGTTACCTTGGCTTTGCTGCTCTTCATCAGAGGATTATAAAGATTTCCCCTTCTATCTCATGAAAAGTTTTTACTACATATACTATAGCCCCACTCTAGCCTCAAGGGGTCATGCCTTAACTGAACTTTAATCCATACAAAATGGGGATGCTTCAATATCAATTTGCAGGGCTGCCAAGGTTCCCAATATGTTTGAAAACCCCTGTTAAAGTGTTCGGTTTGGGTTTGGTTCAAATTTTCCAGATTTCAATTCCCAGTCTGGTTAATGCATATTAAACTCTCTTTTCCAAAAAAAGGAATCAAAATCAAAAGTGTGGACTTACAAATGATGTAAATTACAGTTACTGTATTAAATATAACACAATTAATATATTGAACTAAATCTACTTCATCCATGACAATTAAAAGAAATCACAAAAGGATGGGATATAGAAACAAGCAAGAGTAGCCTTTTTGTCACTAATAGCTGGACTTGTACTAACTACCAATATCAATTAAGATATTTAAAAATCTTAATCAAATTAAAACACTGTGTTTATTTTTGAAATTGAATTTACTTAACCAATCAAGTTGTTTCAGTTAGTTCATAAAATTAATAAAGTTTAAAATAAATATCTAGAAAGAACCAAACTGAAACCGAATAAAATATTTACTGAACAAAACTGACCAGTAAAATTGTGTAACTTTGACAGCCCAAACAATATTACTCAAATGGCCATGATGTTCTGGAGAACAAAAAATTCCCTGTGTACATGCATTATGTAAAAATTTATCCCCAATTTAAGCCCAAATCAACCCTAAGGTCCAACATTTATAAATAACTTCAATCAACAGAAATTAATTAGGAATGTTAATTTAGTGACTAAATTACATTATTTATTGTGATTCTACTATACCATTCAATTTTTTTTTAAATTTCACATATTCATGTATTCTTGTGTAGAACTCTTATCCCCTACTGTGGTCCCATCCTTCCATTTGGGCACTGATACGAATAAACTTGAATCTGTACTATCTATTAATTTGGATGTTTGCATATTAAAAAATCAGAGGCTTGTTCATCAGAGTACAAGCAAACATTTCTGTCAGAGGGATAAGGCCTAGAAAAAAATATGTTTGTTTCCTGAAAAAAATAGGGTAGGTACCCGGTAGCTAGGTAGACAATTTTTTTTTTGACTTATTTTTTACTTACTTCTTGAATCAAAACATCTACATTAATGACAAAAGAAATGGTGCTTTGAAACATTTCTGTGACTTGAATTTATAGTAGAATTTTTCATACATGACAGGGATCACAGTAGGGCTTATAGTTATTTGGGAATGGACCTGCTTCAAAATCTTTAACCTGGTCACTCATTTTGAATATCTAGGTCAGATCCAGCATCCAAAGCAAGTGTGGTAGTGTCCATCCCTAGATGCTTCATTCATGCAAGTTTGGTCCAGGTTGGGCTTATAGTTACTTGGGAATGGACTTGCTCCTAAAACTTTAACTAGGATGCCAACGCCAGGGGTATAGCATAAACTCATCTTGACTTCTTCGAGGTGAGCTAATAAAAAGGCTACTGAAACCTCTCTGTCTTGAAAAGTTTGTGAAGTTGGCGACTATTTCACCCAAGTAGCTCTTGCACATGTGGCATGGGACAAAAGCATATAAAAAAAGGTTTAGGGTCAGCACTATAAATTAGGGTCCCTCAGGAAAGCTGAAACAAACATATTTTTTTCTAGGCCTAAGGAATTATGGCTAGCGCTTGCAAACATTCACTTTGTTGAACAAGTCTTAGATCTAGGCAGCCTCCATTTTCAGAGGATAGTTTTTATTCTCCGAAATTGGAGGGAAGATGTCTCACTACCTTCCACACTTTTCAAATCAAAGAGCAGTGAGCTATTAACAGTGATTAACCAGACAAAGAACAGTAACAGTTCAATGTTTGAAGTTTTTATTTACATGTACTCTTGTGTATACTCTTGTTTATTATAAATAGTAGGCATGAAGCTTTTGAAAATTACCTGTGTTATCCTCTGAAAAATAGGATAAGGTATCCCATAATGTATTGCAATTTCTCATATATAATTGTAAAATTTTGGCTGCCATATTGAATTTTGACTATCCTCCAAAATTGAAGGCCCCCTAGACCTGTCAGTATGATTATTAAATCATGACATCGCAGTTTTTGAGATATAAAATCAAAGATTTTTTTCCCTTGTATGCAGGGATGGGCACGATTACTGAAAAATGTAATTGATTAATAATCGATTACTTAGAGGAATTTGGTGTAATCGATTATTAATCGATTACATTCATTTTTATCCTGTAATCGATTGTAATCAATTACTTTGGAAGATGTAATCGATTAATAATCGATTACTTCCAAGTTTTTATCCCTTCAAATATCAAAGCAATATTTAAATGGTAAATGTTGATGTTATCCACTGAAGTTTGAATGTGTTCCTGCAGTTTCAGTGCAGATTCTTTTAAGGTTTTATTCTGGCTAACATTCTCACTAAATGCCCAAATGAGGGATTCTCTACCATGGAGAGGAGACATGATTCCTACAATAAAATCTGCAAGGAATTAATTATTCCTTTCAACCTTGGATCTGAACCTCCAAATTTATTGACTTGTTGCAAAATTTTTTTTAATATTTTATTGTGAATTACTTTATTAGAAGTATTTGGGCTGCCCGTATGTTGACAGTACACATTAAACATTCCTGTATGTGTCTTTTTCAAAAAATAAATTAGAACAATTAAACTCTTAGTACTTAATAAACATGTAAATTAAATGTGTCTTCAAGTAATTTAACTAATCGCACAATTTCATTCTGTATTGAAATAAGTGTTTTGAGAGCTATTAATTCTTATAATGATATTATTTGTCTTCAATGGAACTATCAATTATAAGAGTTAAACACTAGGTAGTTCACAATTTACACCTCATTATCTACAAATCAGGGATGTCTCAGTCAATTAATTAGCCAAGATAAGCAAACACAGTGACACTCCCTCCCTAACAGACACTTATAACCCCTCATTGATATAAAAACAACCTTACAATTTTGAATGAAAACATGAGAAATATTTTGCAAAGTTTGAAGTTTTTAAACATTTTCAAAAATGAATAAGTATTTCCTTCTTCTTCTCTTTTTTTTTGGAGTACAATGTATAGTTTATTTACCAAATTATTTATATTTAATACAGCATTTAAATCTGTTTTTGCTATTTATAATTTTTTATTACAAGACAAAGTTTTTCAAGATCTGAAATATGAAAAAGAACAATGCAGCAAGAGGACTCTGTCAAATGTAAAATGCACACGAAAAATCTGTATATTTTATTAATAAATGGTTGAAATACACTTCTGAATTATTTAATACTAGACCAGTAGGTCTATAATGCAAATTTTATTGAGAATATTATTAAACTTATAATAAAAGTTAGGAAATCCAAACATTACACTAGGTGGTTTATATTTGATATTTATATGTGACTGATTGGAAATAATTCTCCAAAATAATATCCATTTATGTATAAAATAATCGAAAGTAATTGAAAAAGTAATTATAATTACATTGAAAATTTTAGCTGTAATCGATTAAATTACGATTACAAGTAATCGAAAATCTCTTTGATTACAGATTACTGTCAATTACTTGAAAAAAAGTAATCATTACAATCGATTACGATTACTCTATTACGATTACCCCATCCCTGTTTGTATGTGAGAGGATCCCCTATTGTGGCCACATCTTAACCCCCCCCCTTTTCTCTTAGGGTACCATGATTTGAAAATAATTTGATTTTTTGCACTACCCAAGGATGCTTGCATTGTAAATATGACTAATCAAGGCCTTGCCTCGAAATTTGATCTTTCGAAGTTCTTGATCTCTCAAAATGAGTCACTGGTCTTGATTTTTTCTCCTATATAGATAAAGAAATGTACTCTTGATTTCTCAAAGCTTCAATCTTTCAAAACCCTCGATCTCTCAAAGTCAAAATGCAGTCCCTAGTGCATATTCTATTGTAATTTACTCTCAATTTTAGTGGCTTTGAATACCCTAGCCTTATCTCATTAGCACCTTCACCTGGACATTTAAATGGTGCTCAACCCATGTACCAAGATGTTGATATGCAAGTGTCACTGCACAAGAACCTCAAAGTGACAATATTTATCAACCTTTGATCACCTGCATTCATGTAATAATATCAAATTCATATTCATAAAGTCTGTGTATTGAAATTATTTCCAAACTATGGACCCTAAGGTTGTTTGGGGCTTAAAACTGGGATCAAATTTTACATAATGCTTGCATTATTCTCAATTGTACATGTAAAATTTTGTAGAACTTTGATCCCCCAAACTTGAATTTACACTACAAGTATGTCAGGTAGCTTTTACATATGTTTCATCTCTTCTAGTTCAGTGGTCCTTGAAAAGAAGATTTTTGAATGACCCCTCCTTGATTTTTTGCCTTTTCTTGATTATGTCCCTTTGTTAAAGGACATAGTCCTTCATAAGTACAAATTTAAAATCCCCTCACCCAAGAATGCTTTGTGTATTGTGGCATATTTGGGTGGTCCACTGGTACTACAGAAAAAATTTGAAATTATGAAGTTAAAAGACACAATTAAGGCAGATGGATGGATAACAGAAAAATGTTGATCAGAAAAAAATCACTTTAGACTTATAAACTAAGGCAGGCTAACAAGAAATGATGTAAGGAAAAACTCTAACATTAAAATGTTTGAAGAATGGAAAACAGTTTAATTTCCTTAAATAGATAAAAAAAAAAATCATTTTTATACAAGCAAAATGCAACAGATATATAACTGTTGAATTATTTAAGTTTTAAAACAAATTAGTCTTCATACCTTTTCTAGACGTTTCTTCTTCTTCTGCAGGACTTGAAACAGTCAGGGGCTGTTCTGCTAATGGCTCTCCTTCTTCTGGGTCTTTTGGTTCCTCAGGTTGTTCTGTAGGTTCCTCCTCTTCCTCTATATCTGGGATTTCTGGTTCTATATGTATGAAGTTGAATAGGTGAGGTAACTAACCAAACACAAGGGTCACATGACCTCAACTTTTCTTTTTGCCAAATTAAAGAAATAAAGTGAAGTCTTATGAAAACTGAACTTGTTCTATCCATGGCAAAAAACTTTGTCCAGGCAAGTCACAATTCTTTTTTTTTTTTACAGAAACCACTTTGACATGATGCAAAAAGGAATCCTTTTATTTAAGTTCAGGGCTCTACATTAATGTTTTTTCTTATCAGGGCTATTCGCTTGATGAAAACGAACTAATTGACAAGTATATATTTGAAGCCATTTGCTCTCTATTGACAGCTACCATATGTCAGTGTGTTTACTACACACTGTGTGTATACACCTGTTAGCTTATATGATAAGGAGGACAAAACTACTTGGGTCGAACACGTAATCCAAATGCAACCACCCGATACCAGTACTTTGACAAGATGTAAACAAAAGGGCTGGGACGAGATATCAATAATATTGATTCTGTGTGAGGACGATACGCATATCGATGTGTATGAAGAAATATTGAAAAATCGCAACATAATATCTTACATATGTTTTTTCCTTGTTTACTTAACATTTTGGGTTTAATATATAAATTAATAATAAATATGATAAATAATTAAATATGAAATACATAATAATTAACACCACTTGTGTAAAATAATTTTGTTCTACAGCAGATATACAACTTCTTTTCTTATCTGTACAGAAATGTTTTGTTCATTTCAATACATAAAAAAAGATTTTATAATCAATTCAACATATCATGATACAAATCATATCGTGGATCAAATATCATAAGTATCAATAAAGAAAAAGTTGTATCGTCCCAGTCCAGGGCTAGACAAATAGCATTGCCCAACGCCCAGGAAGACCAATTTTGTTTTTTGGGCAAGTTATTTGATAAGTGGCGCCTGCCCGCGGACTTATCAAATTATCAAATTACCAATTATCAAAAAAAAACAATAATTTACTCAAATGTCTTTTGTGTTATCACTTTTAAAGTATCATTTATCACAGCAAAGCACCTGTTTTCACTGCTGTTGACCACTACATCGAATACTCGGTCAGAACTCCTCTAGAATTTACCCATGATTAACGTATTGTTAAGATATACAGAAGTCGTAAAACATGGTAGCTAGCCGATGTTGCCAAAAAAGTTGAATGGGATTTTAGACTTTTTTTTGTTGTCAAATATTAAATTCATACTGTGAATACAGACGAGTTAGTGGTATCAAAATTGACTGACTGGTGTTCCCTGGCAATCACACAGCCAGGATGTAGATAGCTCAATCGACATGCAGTCTAGTGTTCACAGATTTGTAGTGTTTGTAGGTATTTTGAGACTGATCACTGTTCGTTATTTTCACATTTTTCATCAAATAAATACACATTAATTTTTAAAAAAAGAGGATCTTATTGAAGAATTTTGAGGAAGAAGGTTCCTTAAAATTAGCCCCAAAAATTTATCCGTGGGATTTTAGATCTAGGTTGGTCCTCGTGTAGTGTCTCAGTCAAGAAATAATTTTAATATTAATGCTTTAATTTTGTGTAATTTAAGAAAAAAGTGGGACAAGCATAGTTTTTGGTAGGACAAGTAATTTTACGATTGTAACCTGTCCGAGGGCAAGTACTGCAAATTTCTATTTGTCTAGCCCTGCAGTCCTAGTAAACAATCAATAAAGGCATGATTTTTCTAAACGATCAGTTCAATTGAAAAAAAAAAATATTTATAACTAAGGTATGTCCTACAAAATGAAATAGTATTTAAAATTTATTTACAAAACAGACACAATCAAATAAGGGTAACAATTAACTTGTTGACCTCCGGCCTTCGAGGATATAAAAACAATGTAACCTGAAAAATATAAGGTATTCTGAAGGTGCCCTTCAGGATACCTTATATTTAAACACATTAAAAACAATGTGACCAGAAAAATATAAGAAAAGAACTTAAGACTTAGATCAACAACTTTAGCTGATTGTAAAATCTTAAAGAACTTGGGTTTCTGTTAAAAAATTAATTGCATAAATTATTATTCTTTGATCTTTTCAAAAAGATTAAAACCATTTTGAAATTAATGTAAGAATGTAAGTTATTCGAATAATAACATTCTGATCTTAGTCATAAGTTCTTTAGTAAAACGGGTTCGAGAATACCTTATATTTTTCAGATTAGGCCACAATTAAAATATTGTTGGTTTGGCGTTGCCGACTTAGTCTTTATACGTTTGGGTCGGTAGGTAGGGAAAATATTTTTTTTTTTATTTAAATTTCAGAAATGGCACATGTTGTTAGTATCCGAACGTCATGGGTTTCTGAAAGTTTAACAACAACCACAGTCCGAATTCATTGATTTTGTCATTGATATTAAAACCCTATTAGTTTTAAACCTTTAATATACATAGTATTTAAAATCACTGACATTAAATTAGTGTAAATTCGAATCATGTGCACGAATCCAAGCATGGCAGTTAGACTAGCAAATTGAACAGGACATTGTATCGTGAAATTTCTATTTCGAACTGGTATATCTTATTCATCAGTTTACTCTTAAAACCACATTACCACAGAGAGTTATGCCATCAACTTCTGTTATACTGAGTTTACATTTTACCGCTTTCGACAGCGTGACACGCATTTATTCAACATCACGTAGACGCTTATAAATGAAAACTGTGTGATCAATCAAGCGTTTACATGATTGTTTCCCATTCTTTATATATTACGCAAACGTACAAACACCTAAATCCGGATGAATATAACGAAATAAAAATTATGATCAGTATCTGTTGAAAAAATTCTTCGGACCGCACCGATTTATGTGAGTCGGCCGGCAACGCCAAACAAAGCTAATTTTATTTTCGGCCTTATATTGTTTTTATATTATCCTCGGATCAGAGGCCGGAGGTCCACGAGCTGTTTTTCTAATTTTATTGTGTCTGTTTTGTAAATAAATTTTAAATACTGTTTCATTTTGTAGGTCATACCTAGTCCAGTAAAACCTGTAGCAAAACAGACAGTGATATACTTGAAACTCAAGTAAAAAGAAATAATTGGTCGAAATTGCACCATTCTACAGTGTTCTACCCTTCCCCTTATCCACCAATTTAAGACACAGATAAACAGGTCCAGTACAATCTCTTGATTTAGCTATATAGCTTTATTTAGCTATATAGCTTTATTAAGCTATTCAGAATAGCTTAATTTAGCTATTTTATCACACTTTTTTCTTAAATGTGTAATTTTCTCAGTAGGTACAAAAAGTCGCACCTTGGTGCAGTGATGATATTCAACCTTGAACTCTTCTGAAATTGATGCATGTAAAAATCACTCATCAAATTGTGTCTCCTTGAGAGACTTTGTACTCAAAGTTCTAAGAGTTTTGGGGCTATATAACACAATTGATACAGTTACTTCTTCAATGAAATTATAAAGGAGGCCAATTATGGTCAACAAGATTGGTAATAATTCAGTACAATGAGAAGCAATCATACTTATCCATGCCTCAATGCACACAAGGTAGTGGACAGTTACTCAAACAATAGAAATTTATCTTTTGCTTAAAAGTATTCAAAAGCGGCAAAGATAAAACTATCTTTGATTTTGGTTGTTGTTTTGATAGCCCATAGTACGTATACGAATAGTCAAATACATGCGACTTTTTGTCTATTTTATACAAAAAAAAATTTGGGAAAATCTGCATATAAATAACTAAATCAAGCTATTTTGAATAGCTTAATAAAGCTATATAGCTATTTCAAGCTATATAGCTAAATAAAGAGATTGTACTGGACCTGGTAAAAGCTATCATATAGATATATATCTATAACCTACCACATTCTACTTCTACTTCCTCTTCTTCTTCTTTGATTATTTTATAAAATAAAATAGAAGATTCGTTTTCCTCGGGTGTGTCATTGAGAAATTTTCCTAACCCTCTTTCAAAAACGCCATCGTCTCTTTCTAACAATTCTTCGAAAACTTCGGGCTCTTTTATGTCAAGCGCCAAAGCCACTTGTTTACCAACCCATTCGAATCTGGGATCATCCATTTTGATGATCAAATAATTGGTAACTTCATCGATTGTTCACATTTTTTTTTTCATTTTATCATTTCTCGGCACAACAACCTGCTTCTTTCAGTGGGTTAGTTTGTCAAGTGTTGCACATCCGCATTAAAAAGTTCTCAGTTAAAACACTTTCATAAAGAGTATATAAGCCTTCTATTACTTTTGAAATATCAAAAGTTGTAATATAATTTGATTTCAGTTCTATTTTATGATGTACAATTTTTCTGTTGAAAAATTACCTCTAATTTTTTTTATGGCGGATGAATATCAGTAACTTAGGCCGCCATGTTGTTTAAACGCGTTGCTACTGGCATTTTTTTTTCCTGACGGGCTATGGCATGCCGATGGCGTCAAAACTAAGTATGAGAGCAAATGCTACACCAAAATTTTACTTACTGTCAATGGATCTCTAAGAGATCTCATTTGAAATATGGTTTCAGCATGTAAAGATTGATATTATAGCTCTTAATTATTTTTATATGATTTTTTTTTGTTTTATTTGCAAATAAGATGCTAAAAAGTTTTAAATTTACTGTTATTGAATCAGTGCACTGTATATTGCTCATAACTTCTGATTGGTTGGAGCTCTGGCTTTCATATTTCACATGTGTATTCCTTGAGACAAGACCTTTCTTTGGGTACCATCATATTTGACCTTTTGACTTTGGAGTTTGACCCAGTTTTACAAAAAAAAATTTCCAAGTTTAACCTTGGCCATAACTTTTGAACGGTTGATGCTAGGGCTTTCATACTTCACATGTGCAATCCTTGTGACAAGACCTTTCTTTGGATACCAATCCCTTTGACCTTGACCTTGGAGTTTGACCTACTTTTGAAAAAAATTAACATTGGCTATAAATTTTGAACGGTTGATACTAGTATGGAACGCCGGGACTGTCTTATATGAGGATTAAACATTATATGCAGTGTTCTCTTCATTATATGTGGTATCATTTTAATTACATGAAGTAGTTTTTACAGTTTATCGTGAGCAACTTCCATTATATACAGTACTTCTTTCATTATATGATGTAGATGTGTCATTATATTATGTACATCTATCATTATATGAGGTGTTTTTATCATTATATGAAGTGCTTTTAACATTATATGCGGTAGATCTAACATTATATGCAGTGAACACAACAATTTATTATGTACTTCTCACATTTTATACAGTATATTCATCATTATATGTAGTATTTCTGTTATTATGATGATACTGATCGTTAAATATTATGTCCGGTCCTGTTAGCATTCCGTGCGGTAGATTTTGCATTTCGTTATGATGTAGACACAGTATTATATGCGGTGCTTTCTTCTTTATGTGTATGATCTTTCGGAATGTAACTTTTGGGACTCTCTGTTAAAAATTCGGTACCTTGAGAATTCCGACCTGTTGAATTCAGTACAATAAAAGCATGCGTATATAACAATTAATGCTCCGTGAACAGGTTAAAATGTTTTTTTATGCCCCCGGATCGAAAGATCCCGGGGGTATATTGTTTTTGTCCTGTCTGTCTGTTTGTCTGTTTGTCCGTTTGTCTGTTTGTCTGTTTGTCTGTTTGTCTGTCTGTTGTCAACTTTAACTTTGCCCATAACTTTTGATTGGTTGGAGCTATGACTTTCATATTTCACATGTGTATTCCTTGTGACAAGACCTTCTTTTGGGTACCATCATATTTGACCTTATGACCTTGACCTTGGAGTTTGACCCACTTTTGCAAAATTTTATGAGACTTTAACCTTGGCCATAACTTCTGAACAGTTGGTGCTTGGGGTTTCAAACTTCACATGTGTATTCTTTGTGACAAGGCCTTCCTTTGCATACCAACAACTTTGACCTTTTGACCTTGACCTTGGAGTTTGACCTACTTTTGAAAAACTTTAACCTTGGCCATAACTTTTGAACAGTTGGTGCTTAGGGTTTCAAACTTCACATGTGTATTCCTTGTGACAAGACCTTCCTCTGGATATCAACCACTTTGACCCTTTGACCTTGACCTAGGAGTTTGACCTACTTTTGAAAAACTTTAACCTTGGCCATAACTTTTGATTGGTTGGAGCTAGGGCTTTCCTACTTCACATATGTAATCCTTGCGACAAGACCTTCCTTTGGATACCAACCACCACTTTGACCTTTTGACCTTGACCAAGGAGTTTGACCCACTTTTGAAAAACTTTAACCTTGGCCATAACTTTTGAATGGTTGATGCTAGGGCTTTCATAATTCACATATGTAATCCTTGTGACAAGACCTTCCTTTGGATACCAACCATTTTGACCCTTTGACCTTGACCTAGGAGTTTGACCTACTTTTGAAAAACTTTAACCTTGGCCATAACTTTTGAACAGTTGGTGCTTAGGGTTTCAAACTTCACATGTGTATTCCTTGTGACAAGACCTTCCTCTGGATATCAACCACTTTGACCCTTTGACCTTGACCTAGGAGTTTGACCTACTTTTGAAAAACTTTAACCTTGGCCATAACTTTTGATTGGTTGGAGCTAGGGCTTTCATACTTCACATATGTAATCCTTGTGACAAGATCTTCCTTTGGATACCAACCACTTTGACCCTTTGACCTTGACCTAGGAGTTTGACCTACTTTTGAAAAACTTTAACCTTGGCCATAACTTTTGATTGGTTGGAGCTAGGGCTTTCATACTTCACATATGTAATCCTTGTGACAAGATCTTCCTTTGGATACCAACCACTTTGACCCTTTGACCTTGACCTAGGAGTTTGACCTACTTTTGAAAAACTTTAACCTTGGCCATAACTTTTGAATGGTTGATGCTAGGGCTTTCATACTTCACATATGTAATCCTTGTGACAAGATCTTCCTTTGGATACCAACCACTTTGACCTTGACCTTGACGTTTGACTTTTATTTAAAAAACTTTAACCTTCGCCATAACTTCTGAACAGTTGTATCTAGGTCTTTCAAATTTCACAGGTGTATTCCTTGAGACAAGACCTTTCTTTGGGTATCAACATTTTTTATCTTTTGGCCTGGATTTCGACTTGCATTTGAAGAAACTTTAACCTTCGCCATAAGCTGCCATACGGGGGCATCAGTGTTTCACAAACACATCTTGTTAAAGATATGAAGTAGGGTAATAGAGTAAAATAAAATCCATGCATTCTATTTCATGGTATGAAGTAAATAGAGAGAGAGGGGGGTTGTTGATAGAAATATTTTGGGAGTGGAAGAAAATTTGAAGCATTTTCTATCTTTTTTGTGAACATTATGACTTTCAAAAAGATTCATATCATATATAGGACAATCAATGTCAAAAAAGATAATAAAAAACAGGGGCGTCGGCAAGAATTTGACATTGGGGAGGCGAACTGGATCGAAAAGGGGTCCTAACCAACTAAAATAAGACTTCATCCAAAATTTTGATATTTTTATTTTCTGATTAATTAAGAACAATTAAACATGCAACCAAAAAAAAAATGTTTTATGTGATTTAAGTTATAAGAAAATTCCACCACAGCTAAGAATTTGTCAACACTGTAATTCAAATGCTATTGGTAATGAAATGCATTTTTTATTATTTTGTGAGAAAAACAAGGTAGACAGACAAGAATTATTGAAAGTTGTAAATGAAGAATGTTACAATTTTTCTAACCTACAACCAATTGATAAATTTGTTTGGCTAATGAACAATGAAATTAAAAAGGTGTTACTGCAATTGGCAAAATTCATTTACCTGAATTGTGATTAATGGAATCTTTCCAAATTATTAAACTGTACTGTATATATTCATAATTATAGATGTAATTTATATATTGTATACACTTCCTGGGACAACCACATTAGGTACGAGGTGGAACATATTTAAATACAATTTATACTATATAGTATTAAAAGGTAAAATTACTGAAATGTCCCAGCATGAGTCAAACATGTTTCTATGTGTGTGTGTATGTATATATATATATATATATATATATATATATATATATATATATATATATATATATATATAGGTTCACGTATGTTCCGGAAGCATCGTCCCTTGGTACCTTCTGTTGTTGTTTTAGGCTGTATTTATACAAATCTGTTTACTACCATGCTTAATTTAACATGTCTCATTGTTTTATGCCTCTCGGGGCCCTTGAATGGCAATAAATCATCTGTATATATGTATTATAGATTTAAAAAACCGGAATATTTTAAAATAGCTAGGAGCTAGTGTGTGGTTTTTTTTCCGAAACGGCATAGAAAGAACTTTGAAGGGTTTATGAGTTAAAGATTAAAATACATATAATTTTCTATTATTGTATAATATTTTTTGTTACTCGCCGAAAGAATGCATAGTTATGAAATTTAAAATGAACAGGGTGATTAATCCTTCATAATCCCCCCCCCCCCCCATTTTTGAAATGCAGAAATGTGTATGACATAAAAAAAATCATCTGAAGTTGTTTTAAGGATGGATTCTTCTCATATTTCCTATAATGGCAGAATCTTGATTTTCTGAATACTCAATATTCAGACTGTTTACACTCTTTTAACATCCAAAAACTTTGGTGTCATCGACCTTGATTTACAGTCAAGGTCATTTGAAAGTCAGTCCTAAAAATAGTACTTTTACACAGAGAAGTTTTGAAATTTATGCATATGAATAAATTTTGCTGACTGAAAAAATATCTTTCACAATAAAATTAAAGTTGCTACTTATTTTTGATGACTAATTCATATGAAATGAGCTGGTGAAAAGATAACATGAAATCCTTTATATTCAATAAATATATTTAATCCGAATTTCCTCGAAATTTTTTCAAAATTCTCAGTTTTTATGAATTCACATGAAATTTCATCTCAATTTTTACAATTGACCATATAATGTCAAATATTTAGATTTTTGTCTGATGAATATTCAAAGGTTCAAGATTAATTTACAAGGTAAAAAAGATATAGTAATCAGGCAAATTATCGGAAAAAAAATTAGCCCGAATTTGCTCTATACTTTCAGAAATCTTCAT